CCAAAATATTTTGCCTTATACAGGGTGACTCAAAAATGCGTGACGTATCAAAGTTATACTTTTTCTTATGGGACACCCTGTATTTCATTGCATTTTCGGATCCTCCTATGTGAGCTGATTTCATCAATGCATCACTCTTGGGGTCTAGCAAGAATGATTACAGAGATGTCGGGTGTTCAAAATCGAGATTTTTCAATTTCAGGATTCTTTTGTCGCGAAACTATTCATTATTGGTCAAAACGGCTAACATGTCTCTATCTTAACCGTTGGTTTACTATCTACTGATATTTATTTCGAACGAATACTGGTGGTTCATAATTATGAATTTTGAACTACCCTGTATTTGTCTAAATTAAATATCAGTAGATAGTGAATCGAAAATCAAGATGGGGACATGTGAGTCATTTTGACCAATAATCAGTAGGTAGTTTCGATACAAGAAAATTCTAAAGTTGAAAAATCTCGATTTTGAACACCCTATATTTCTGTAATCATTCCCGCTAGATCCCGAGTGTGATGCATTGATGGAATCAGCTCACAAAGGAGAATCCGAAAGTGCTATTAAATACAGGGTGTCCTTTAATAAAAAGTATAACTTTGATACGCCACCCATATTTGAGTCACCTCGTATACGCAAAATAATTTAGAAATATGCTTCTCATGAGCCTAGACCATCACAAGAATTTGTATTCATCTATCTCAAACAGCGAAGCCGTTATGTCACTTTCCCATTTCAATGACTCACCCTGTAGAATCTCTAATGGTAAAAAATATTCTTAGAGAATATAGTTCTGTTACTACTTGTGCACAGAATTCAGAGTCGTTTTTTGAGTGTTTAAATCATTTCTTGAAACAATAATTCATTTTGATTCTTGAAAAAATAGTCTCACCAGTGATCCGGCTTATGCTTCCAATCTGATAGTAAAGGAGCAAAGACTATTTTTACGTGAACATGATTCATAATTATAGAGTTCGATGTCTTTGATATTTTACTATTATCTCTGATATACTAAGAAAATTCAAACAAAACTCCTGATGAAGAATAATGTAGATCATCAGCCTAAGCCTACTGTGCTTTTTTAGTAACAATCTCCAAAACTAATCCAAAATACTGCACTTTAGAGCATTTTCATTTGTCAAATATTTATAAGAAAACGTGATGATACATCAGTGTTTAAAGACTTACTACCATTGTAAAACCTTTTGATCCATCACTTTGAACATATCAGTACCAATTTTCATAATTCCAAAATACAGGGTATAAACTTTAATTTATTTCTTTGAAACACCAATTATTTTAAAAAGATGAAAATTGGGAACTACTGGTATAATTTTACTTGTTATTGAACGAAAATAGTTAATGGAGATGGATCAAAAAGTCAAGATTTCACAGGGGTGGTAAGTATTTGAGAAGGACATGCACTGTATACTGGATGTTCCATATTTCACACCCAGCCTCTGCAATAGATGGTTTTCGCCCCTCTAGCTCATCGTCAATAAATAATTAATCCCACTATTTGAAGAAAATTGTAGTTGACATATCCTGTACTGAATGATTAGTGAATGTTCCCTTCCAAATTAAATATAGGACTATATAACTGTAGTAGCTCGAAAGATTCGTTCGAATAAGAATATAAAGCAATTGAGTACCGAGGTATCACTTTGAGCAAACCACCCTTGAAATTTCTTGATTTTCCGCCAATTTCAATTTTTTTAGGACCTACATTCCTGAGTATTCAATGTTCACATTGCACGGCCACTTATGATGGATTCAAAATGCAAAAAATCAGTAAGTGAAAAGTTTATTAACATCAGCATATTGTGAAACCTCTGAAACATATTTCAATTTAATTTATGTAGAAGATCCTGTATCAAAAATACAATACTTTTTTTGTATGGAAATAGAGCATTCTCAATAATGATCGCCTTTTTAATAAAAAGCTTCTATTTAAACGCTCTAAAAAGAAGAAAATAAAATTTTTCTTAATAATTTCAACTATCAACTTATAACCTCATTATTCACAATTTATATGATCATAAAAATTTGTCGTGCGATCCACTTGTGTGAATGAACTAGTACTTATTTAATTATGTAAAATCTGCTGAGATAAAATTTTTAAAATTACAATTTAATTAAGTATCGATCATCGCGACAAGCTTTTATGATCATATAAATTGAGTATAATGAGGTTATAAGTTGATAGTTGAAATTGTCAAGAAAAATTTTATTTTCTTCTTTTTATAGCGTTTAAATAGAAGCTTTTTATTAAGAAGTTTTTTTTTACTTCTAATTTATTTTTTGATTTTTAGTAATCGCTAGTTGGATTTTTCGATTTACTCTCAACGAGCCTTTTCATTTGATATCCATACTGTAGAAGTATATTGAAAATGACCATTCCGCCATCTTGGATGGTCCGCCATAATGGATTTAGAATGACGTTACATAATTTTTCGAGTTACTCTCAACGAGCCTTTTCATTTCCTACCCTTATTGTAGAAGTATATTAAAAATAGCTATTCCGCCATCTTGGATGGTCCGCCATATTGGATTTAGAATAACGTCACATTATTTTTCGAGTTACTCTCAACGAGCCTTTCAATTTGATACCCATATTGTAAAAGTATATCAAAAATATAGCTATTCCGCCATCTTGGATAGTCCGTCATATTGGATTTAAAATAACGTGACACACCTTATCGTGCATTGTCATCCAAACTGAACGTGTATACAAAATTTCAGCTCAATCGGTTGAAGATTTCTACTTCAAAATTGAGTTCAAAGATTCCACCCGAACATACATACATACATACATACATACAAACATACAATGCAAGTTAATTAAAAAAATATTTGCGTTCTATGCAGATCATATAATTAGTTATCCACAGTGAAAATGTGTGATGTTTCTGAGTATTTCCATGTTCGATTGATCACAATTGGCAGTGTTTCAATGAGAAATGAATACACAGGGAAGTAGATCACATAGACTACCTAAACCTACATGTTGCATGAGACAAATACCATTATAAAAATCATGATCAAGGCGGTACAAGGGTGGTGGTGTTCAAAGTGCACAATGTATAAAATCAAGGATTAGACGATATTGATTTTGAACTGATTGAAAATCAAATCATTTACTATTTTTGGTTCCTAGTCCGATCGATTTCATTTTCTGAAATCAATGGGCTGTATGAGTTGTTTTAACTGAAACTATTATTTGATTAACATGGTAATGGTTGTTTATTTTGCTCATTTTATCGTCAATTAATTTTTTCTATGAAAAAAAAAATGGTTCCTCAAACTCCAAAGAACTGGAGTTTTGGTTTTTTTGGATTTTAAGTGAATTGATGGTAAAGCAAAGTCTGTTGAAGATGCATTTATTAAATTAAATAGGTATTATGGTGAAGACATGATCCTTTTATATAATACAGTTATAATATAATTACCTAATATAGGTTTCATGTGTTGTAATGGTGATGTAATTATACTTAAATAAATAAATACATGAAAAATCTAGTTCAATTGTTTAACATTCATACCATAATTGTGTAAAACGATTCATTGAGATTCCAGGCAAACCAAAAAAATGCATATCATTTAAGTTAAATTCATATGGATTCCACGAATATATAGCTTTCCCTAATATTCCACTTTTGAATATAAATGCATGTGCAAATTTAAATGAACCAAATGTACTTTTCGCCGCAAATTGCCTATTGAAATTCACATATAGTACAGTAAATTAATCCACATATATTTTCAAGACAACCAATATAAAGATGGAAACATGTATACAGGGTGATCCACGGTGGATGGCCTATTAGAAGTATCTGGAGAACGAAAAGACAACACATTCTGAAAATTGAGATGCTTCGATAATTGAACATTCTCTATCCGTCTAAAATATCATCGATACAGTGTTGCCACTTCTATCAGAAACAACTAGCAACTTTGTTATTTCAAATGGAACACCCTGTATTTTTTTTTCGTTTCTAGATTCTTCTTGAAGAGCTGATTTCATCAATGTATTACACGTGGGGTCTAGCAGGAATTATTACAGAGATATAGGGTGTTCAAAATCGAGATTTTTCAATTTCAGGAATTTTTTGTGTCGAAACTATTCATTATCGATCAAAACGGCTTACATGTCCCTATCTTAACTTTTGATTCACTATCTACTGACATTCAATTGGAACAGATACAGGGTGATCAAAATTCTGAATCTTGGACCACCCTGTATTTTTTCCAATTAAATTCCAGTAGATAGTGAATCAAAAGTTAAGATAGGGACATGTGTGCCGTTTTGATCGATAATCAATAGTTTCGACACAAAAAATCCTAAAATTGAAAAATTTCGATTTTGAACACCCTATATCTCTGTAATCATTCCTGCTAGACCCCAAGTGTGATACATTGATGGAATCAGCTCTTCAGGAGGAATCTAAAAATGCAATAAAATACAGGATGTTCTATTTGAAATAACAAAGTTGCTAGTTGTTTCTGATAGAAGTGGCAACACTGTATCGATGAAAATATTTTTGGCGGATAGAGAATGTTCGATTATCAAATGATTCCAATTTTCACAATGTTCTGTCTCTTCGTTCTCCACGAACTTCTAATAGGCCATCCACCGTGGATCACCCTGTATATGAACGGTTTGTCACTCAAAATATTTATGAACTTTGTTAATTCAAGTCCGATTTGATCATTTTATAGCATAGGTAAATTCTTAAGGAATCTGATACACGCTTAGATCATAATGATCTAAGGATACACGTTAGAAATTTCAAGAAAATCAGGTAGGTATAGGTACTTATATCCTAATGATATAGAGTGACACAAAAAGTGCAGTTTTTCAATGGTACACGTTTCCAAGAGCATCTCAAATGGTTCAATTGGGGTTATCTCTGGCTTTCTAAGTGGCCAATTCATTATTCAGCTTAATTGCAATCAACAATTTTTGAAAATTGTGCGAAAGAAACGATTATTTTGCGGGCGAGTATATTTTTCAAAAATCATTTTTAACCAGATGAGCAATTCGGAGGGAAAGCGTATGAAAAAATAAAAGCTAATATTCGTGAAATGAAGTCGAGTAATCGGAAAAATGCATGTATACCACGATGATTCAAGCTGATAATAATGAAGGAAAATAAATAATAAATCGATCACAAGCTCCCACTATTCAAAATTTTGTTTGACTTGAAAATTACCTAGGTTCTTTTTAATTTCTGGATATGGCGCAAATGCAACAGCTGGGAAACCAAAAAACATCATTATAAAGTTGATTACCTCCTGCTTCTAAGGCAACGAGCCTTTTTTGCACGTATTTTTGTTCGCATCTTGAAGAGTATCCTTCTGGGAGGCTGCAAATACCATTGCAAGTTTGAGATCTGAAAATATAATAACTATAATGTTTTGTTATTATTTAATCAATGGGGTTTTTCCGATTCACATTGTAAACCTGATTCATTATCTAAGATGTGTGTAAAATACGTATTTACTTTGAATCAAGACCACAGAACTGTCCATGAGTTCTGTGATCAAGACCCTAAATTTCAAAAATAATATAAAATGTTCAACTTTTATCATTGCCCTCACGATTTTTCCCGCTGGCGCTTTAGATCTAATAATGTCATATAAAATATAAAATTTCGGCATCAAATTAAAAATTATTTTCAATAGAGAAGTTCGGCAAACATTGAGAGGAAGGAAAATGTTTTTCTTTTCTGTCCCTTGAACGTCTTCAGAGATTCAGAGGTCCGATCTAAAATATTGAAAATTGTATAATGGCAAAATTTTAAATAAGTAGAAATGGAGAAGACCCTCCTAATCCTCTTTATATTGAGGTTGAAATGGTCTTCAATACTTCCCCATCCAAAATTGGCAGTAAAAGCTGTTGAAATATTTAATTCCATGAAAATTATCATTCATATAGAAACAAAAACCTGTTTATGAAACAATAGCAAAAAAACATAACTATATAGATAATACACATATGGGTTTTTTATGGGTACTACTGACAACGTCATAAACGGAGTAGGTAGGTAAACGATTGAGATTAGTTCGACCGAAATTCAAGATAACGTCATAATCGGAGTAGGTAGGTAAACGATTGAGATTAGTTCGACCGAAATTCAAGATAACGTCATAATCGGAGTAGGTAGGTAAACGATTGAGATTAGTTCGACCGAAATTCAAGAGCATACCCAAGCACATATACAGCGTGTCTTACTTCAAACGGCCCCCCTCTATCAGTTATTAGTCATGCGATTCCAACCAAATTTGGTGTGGTATGGATAACCATCAATGTGACCAGTTTTACAGAGATGCACATTATTTTGGACAGTGCCGTGCGTTTTTATTGAACTAAAATGGGGTCGATTTTCCATAAAATCATATTAGGCATTTTTTCACAAGAAATCTAACCTCATATTATTGTTCTTCATGCTTTCGAACCTCCATATGCAAAACATTCACCTGATTCCGAATTAACAGGATTGGCTTAATTTTTTCCATTTACAGTCTCGAATGAATAGTGACTTCAAAACTACGAATTTTGGAACGTTCAATGGCTCCGGTAGATGGAAAATCATGATTTGGAAGGAAAAATGAGTTATACTTTTTTATGTTGAACTCACCGTTTCCGAGTAAATAATTATAACGTTCGCAAAAATGCTGTTTAGATGTGCCTGTTTTTCTGAAACCCTTCATAGGCATCTTATTATGAGAATCCACATATATGTGGGATTGAAATCATTAAGAACAATATTATGAGGTCAGTTTTCCTGTGAAAAAATGCTTAATATATGATTTAATAAAAAACTGCCCCCTATTCATTTCAATAAAAATGCACGGCACTGTCTGAAATGATGTTTGTCATTGAAGAGCTGGTCATATTCATGATTATTTATACCGATACAAATTTGGTAAAGATTGCACGACTGATAGCTGAGATATAGAGGGGGGCCGTTTGAAATGAGACACGCTGTATATGTCCGAATAATCAGTAATTCATTTTGAATAGAACAAATAAAGATGATTGAACAATTGGCCGCGGAACAGGGATATATTTTCTTCCAGCACATAAAAAAGGTATTTCGGGGCCTATAGGCATACCAATAACTATTTCAACCTAGTTTAGTCATAGACTAAACTAACTAAAGAATACCAAATTCAAAATAAATATCATGATTGCATGAAACTTAGAAAGTATAGAGGTATAGGTACTTACGCGCAAACTTCACTTTTGACTAGCTGCGTATAGCTGCTGTCAACTTCGGGCATATTGACGACGTACATCCAATTGCCCTTATTGTTGAGGGCCGCCCTGGGCATGATAAACTGAGACCTGACCCTGCACAACGACGGTATCGTCGCCTGTCTTTTCGATCGTTGAAGGGTACTGTTTGAATGTTTACTTTCTTCAGTTATTCGCTGAAAACTGCGCCGCTTTCGCTGGTGCTTCAGCGATCTTCTGAGTCTTTGGTAGTTGCTTTCAATTCTGGAACGAGCCAAAGATGGTGAAAAAGTTTGCAGGAGAGGCACGAAATTAAATGATAGAGAATACCATCTTCAGCTTAATAAAAAGTTCTACAATACAGAGAAAAGGTTAGTATGAAGGGAAATAACGGTATTTGGTTGACCTTCTTGGAACTGAAAAAATAATATTCCGAGTCAACCAAATACTGTTATTCCCTTCATACGAATCTTTTCTTTGTATTGTAGGCTAAAGATTGTCTTTTCTAAAACCCAAACATATTATGTCCCTGTTTGTTTAACAAAGTCATTAAAATGTGTGGAGATGACGATCTTTTCTTTCTTCCTTTGAAAATTCCACTTCATTTCGAGCAATATATGGAGTTCTACCAGTGACTGTTTCACTGTTTGTAGAGTCCAGTCGTCCATCGTAGCCAGATAAGTGAGATAGAGAGAAAACCCGAATAGATCCGATTAAAGCGCGCCAGCGATGTATCATAAATGTTCATGAAGGGGTTGTTAGGTAACTAGATGAGGTTAATATACTTAATGAGTGTGTAGTTTTCAGATTTTGCTCTTGTTACGTGGGTAAGTCAGCTAAAATGCCTAGAGGAAATCGAGTACTTTTCAAAGAAAAAAAAAATATTTTATATATTTAGGCGAGCAATATGGAGAATATAACCGTTCAGAGGTAGCTGGAATTAGAGTTCCTTAATGTACTTGACACTGCTGATTTCGACGTTTTTTGTATATCAGGAAAGTAGTTGTTTTCTGTTGAATATTCAGAATGGTTTTATATGCATATCTTTATATGAAGGAGAATGCAAATTCTCTACTTCAGAAGATTTCGTTTTCAAATTCTCATCGTGTGTGTTCAATAGATGTAATTCAATATTCGTCGTGGCATATAGCCAGGAAAGTAGTTGTTTTCTGTTGAATAAACCGAGAAAGAATTAATATTGTAATGATATTCCCCTTAAAGGGGCTCTAGAAACATCAGCAGGATGGCAGGAGTTCAATGATCATCCTGTAACACAAATTCCAGATTGTTCTCCAACCTCTCAATGATTCCTACATACACCAGCATATTTCCGAACACTCAATATATGCCGCAGTGACAAATAACGTGACAGAAGATTCTGGAATGTTCTGGAAACAATCGATGGAACAATTAGAGAGAGAGGTTTTGTTCTAAGAAGCTTCTAGAACAAAAAGAAGGAGACGGAAGATCATTCGAGAACGTTCTCGAACCAAAGTCTTCCAAGGAATCTCATATATAACGGCCGAACAACTGCCGTCAGTCAGTTAAGCAGCGAGTGTCAGAGAGACAGTTATATACCGCGTGATATAAATCGTTTTACATAAATAGTAGTTATAAGTTCGATATAAATTAGTGTTTCTTTAGTTTAAATAAATCATTTCGAACATAAATAGTGTCGTGTTCGCTTCTGCACCCGAATAACGTAACAATATTTTCATCACATGGAGAATGCGAATTCTCAATGTATTTCTTTATATATAAATATCCATTTTTTGTGTTCATAAATATATCTGAGAATGTTTCCTTTTCAATACTATATATATGAACATTCATGACATCGTTTTATTTGTTCCTAATCTTTGTGTTACGAAACGTTAAAAGCAAAACGTAAAAAGCTTGGTTGTGAATCTCGCTCAAAAGAATGTTTTACAATACAGTACGAAATAAAACTACGTACCGTTTCCAAACATCACCAATGTACGGGTTATACTGGGCATCCGAAGGCGTGAAATAACCCTGAGGCTGGTACCGCTCACTGTACGCCGACAAACTATCCGGATACCGCAAGTCGTACTGCCCCCCACTCCCCTCGGTGAAGTTGCGCAGGAGGGGATACGCCTTGGGCGGCACATAGGCCTTCCCACCGTCATGGAAGGGGAAGGGCGGCTTCGGAATGTGGATTGGCTCAGGGAGGTCCCGCGCGTCCTGCCCCGAGCCGTGGTAAATGTGGATGGGATCAGGGAGGCCCTGTCCTGAGCCTTGGTAGGTGGGCGGGCCGTAGCTATGGTGATTGGGGGGGCCGTAGCTGTGGTAGTTGGGGGGGCCGTAGACGGGCGAGGGGGTTGGCCGGAGGTAGGAGGAGAACTCCTCGCGGGACTCGGAGGCTATGAGGGTGGAGTGGTCGAACCGCCATTTCTGGATCAGGTAGTTGATCAGCTGTCTGGAAGAGATGAAGAATTCAGACACCGTTCTTGAATGGAAAATTGAGAAAACTAGCTGGTCATTATAAAAATTATAGAAATAAAGAAATTTAAGTTATCATTGATAGCGAAGCAACGTCTATCAGTTAGGCATCAAATAATTATGGCTTTACTTGTCAGAATGAATCACTCATTTATGATACATGCTTTATATGCTTCGTGAACGTGAAATAGTCTAGCAAAATACCACTCTGTTCTGAATATCTTCTCATAATTTTGTCTGTCATTGTTAATTCAATTGTGTTATGCCACTCGAATATTCAGAACATCGTGATATCACTTATAGGAACAAAGAGAATGAAAACAAAAAAAAAGTTTTGCGACCTAGCAAATCTGAAAACAATCGGCAATAACAAAAAAGTATATCACATAAAAGGATCGAAAAATGCTACTCTCTATTATCATAGTATTACTACAATACAATTTTCGAAAAATGGGTACGGTGAGAATACTTACTGAGGGTAATGGTCGGGGTGTTCGCAGAAAGTCAGCCCTGGCCTTGCACAAGGGGGTGTTTTTCCAGGGGGGGCTGGTACGAAACTGCAAGGTTTGCTGCCGTAGGCAGAGGAGCAGCCTTCATAGCCTCTTACTCCTATCGGGTTTGTGGTCAGCAAAAGGAGCTACAGGTACAATGTAATTTAATTCATGGAAACTGTCCATTTTTCTCAGTGGTCCAGAATTTTTCAAAGAAAAATACAAAAAAAAAACAAAGTCGGTCGACCACAAACATTTTTAATTACATTAGTAGTGTTACTAGTTTCGGCACTCGGCCATCATCAGACACATATAAAGTACCTGTAAGGAAATGAACCTTAAAAAAAAAGCAGTCCTAATGGAACATATTGCAATTTGTGCCGGCCTAACAACCAGAAATGACTCTTTTTTTTATATTTCTTTGACAATGTAATTTCATCAAGTTAACGTCATAGTTTTTGATCAAATGTGAGATTACGATTTTCGTCTCCACGTTTCAAGAAACGAAACAAATTAACTACTTTAAAGTTCAGAGAAATCAATTTTCGCTACCTATGCTAAATAAGAAAACAAACAGACTGGTAAAGTCCGCTAAGACGAGTGATTTTACCTAATTATCTAATATAAAGAATGACTCGTATTTGGAAAGATAGTTTTTTACCAATTTGGGGAAAAAAAAATATTCACCTTATTACTAGCAAATAGCAGGTTTTACAAGTCACGTTTGTTGCATAAATTTATTGTGACAACTACCTTCAAGTGTTTTCAGGAAATAAAAGGTCATTGAAAATGTTAAGTTTTTTCTTCTCCCAGAGAAACAAAAACTTACTCGATTGTTACACATATAGATCAAGAGAATCAAGATGGCAAACGCAGGTGGAATTAATCGAATTTGAGAGTTCAACATGTAAACAAGGTTTTAACGAGGAAGAGTAGTTCATCAGTACAATACCGAATGATTTGCCAGGCTCACGCATATTGGTTGAAATCACTAAAATGGCAGATTTTGAAATCAGAAGAGAAAATAATCAATATTATCGATTTCAAACCAACCTAGAGGGATTCATAGAGTATTCTACTTTTTTATTAGTTCTTATAATGTGAAAATCTTTCAAATAAAAGTAGATATTATTTCATCAATAAAACGCAAGTTACAATTTTAACTGTAGGTAATAAAGAATATATATATATATTGCACAACAGTTATCCCATTGCAATCTTGTCTTGTGAAATTCTATTCATGTTTGTGAATAATGGACCATAAAATGTAATTGCCAGATCACGCCAAATTCAAATTCTAAATAATATGATTCCAGAGATATTACAAAATATACAGTGTGACCAAGATAAACTTGTACATCATGGGGATCTCGGAAACAGTAGGAGATACAAATTCGGACATACCAACGGCCTTAAAAAAATTTCAAAATTGTTCATAGTTTTTCAGTTATATCGAAAAAAATTAATTATTGTAAAATCTATATTTAATTTTTTTGTCCGCTATTATTAGAGGTATTATCAAGGTAAATCGTTTAAGAATCCATTAGCATGAAACAATTTGAAGCGCTGCAACGAATAATTTATGCATTTTTTTCACTTTTCAGTATTGTTCTAAAATTGTTCTTATCCATAATTCGATTGCCCCCTTACGAGCAACCCTCAAAAGTCTTCAAGAGACTAGTGCGAGCAAGGAATGACGGGGGTCTTACCTTTCAACGTGTGATCTAAAACACTTTTTTAGGCCATCAGAAAATTTTCTGCGGTCATGGTGGGAATCGAACGCACCTACCAGCAATCCAACGTGGATAGAATACTGACGCTTCAACCACGAGGCTACGCTGGCCATTTATTGTATTACAATTCCATCAGTTTTTGACACTGCATGATCAGAAATAAGTGGAACTGATGGTATTTCCTCTTTGGGATTTCGAAAAAACATTGAAGATGGCTAAAACTAGGTCAAAACACATTCAAACCACTTTGAGTAATACATGGTTGAATTCAGAATAAAAAGCTATCAGAATCTGTGTACACATAATCAGGACCGTATTTGAAAAAAAGTTGATGATGGTTCTACGAATACGAAACGTCGCGTGGAGAAATCAATATAACCATGTTAAATCTCATCAAAAATTGCTATGGATAAGTAATTTCAGTGAGATCCCCATGCTGTGCAACCTTATCTTGGTCACACAAGTTTCACTTTGACAGTTGCTGACTCGAGGACAAATTTAATTAATCAATAATATTATACATATACCTGGTAGCAAAGATGGAAGATAGTGTTAAAATAATTATTGTCGATAGTTTTCAGCATCTCAGCCTTTAGATCAAGAGGTCAAATCGATTCATAATTTGCAAACGTCATAAATTATTTGCATCAAATCACTTGAAAAAAAAATCAAATTTTATTTACCTAAACAAAATACAAAAACGTAACAAAAAAAAGTTTCTATTTTCGTTGACAATCTCAAAGCATAAAATAATGAAACATGCAATTTTTGTAAAACAAACTGGAACTATTGATTGAATGGGACATGATAAATGCTTGAGCAACTTATTACTTATTCAGAATCTTCATTAAAAATCAAATTTTCGCCTGTGAACGCTTCACGGCTGTCAGATGTCATCGGATATTACAAACTACAGTTTTAATTAAAGGTAATAATGCGATTTGTTCCCATTAGAGAAATCTTGAATTAATTCATGACTTATTTAAAAAAAGTAATTTGAATTAATCCACGAATTAAATCACTGACTTAATTCACATGAATTAATTCGTGCCAACCCTGGATCAAAGTACGATAAATCATAGAGAACAAAGATGAACATCAATCAGAAAGATCCGTAGAATTGACAAGCTTTCTTTTCTACCGGTGAAACCGTTGATTCCTAATGGATTCCTTTTGGATTATTCAGTAGTATTGATGTGCGTTATGTAAAAATCGTGGGCAATTATCGAGGTGTTGTAGACTCAAAGCTTGAAATATATCGTCGTCTTATACAGGGAATAAAAAAGCTTCAATAATTTGGAGAACACGCCATCAACGCCAAAATTGTCATCAGGGACATACATACATTGGAGTCCGTTCTAAAAAGGGTTCTGACAAAGCTTTTTTTCTCCGATTGGCAGCAAATATTAATTTTGCTGACACATATCAATCAGCAAAGTATTACTTTTCCTGCCTAGGCAGCAACGTGATTATACTCAATGGGAATAAAACATTTGACGTAAACATGTATTAGCAATTATTACATAAATCGTTTATAATTTCCTTCATATTTCATCCGAGACTTCTCCGGCAACAAATTCAACTCTATATTTTTTGCCACCTCCCTTATTTCATGAGGAGTAAGTACTTCCAGGTCGCTATCACTGTCCATTATATAATAATTTAAATATACCGATATTTTTTCGCACAACTGTCAGAAATTCCAACCATTCCAACAACTGCGATTTCTATCAAATTTTATTTCAATTGAACACTACAGGAAAAATACAGAGATTGTGTGAATTGTAATGATTTGCAAAAACAATATCCTCCTATATCCTTAGGAACAATCGGAGGTTCAACTCGGCAGCAAACTAGATTGGCTGCCTTACGACAATCAATCTACTACTTTGCTGCTTAGTTAAACAAATAACTATTTCTTTATTGGACGTGGTCGCAGAACTTGCACTGAGGGACAAATCAATATCGGTAGATCCTTCTCTTGAAGGTGGAGATGTTGTAGTTTTCTGAACAGACATCCGTGAGTAAATAGTTACAAAATGATGATTTTCCACAAAAAAAAGCATTCTTGAAATGCGAAGTGAAATTTGAGCTAGCCGTGTTCAGTAGACCAAATTTTTTAGCACCCATGATTATTTGCATTCCATTTTAGTTTCGTAAAAGTGTTTGCACTTGTTATATCTACATCACTATAGCTATAGTGCCAATTAAATTGAGCGGTTGATATCCTGGTTAAAAAATCTCTCAGATTTAATTTGCATGTGTCATTGCATTCAGTGATATTAGATTGTTTTTTGTACGTCTTATTTCCTCTGTATCGAGGTTACTACAAATCGGATCAAACATTCAGCTTTTTTCAACATGACCGTGAATAATTCGTACTAGATGGGGCACACCTATAATTATCATCATTACATTGTCAATAACACGATAAAAAACAACAATAAGTTTAATCAAGATGGAAACAAGACATCAATCATTTTAACTAGAGCGAGCACTTGAAACCAATTGAAATTCTGCTTGAGCAGGTGAATAAAATTGTAGGTAGATACTTAATATGTTCACTATGTCCTTCGAAGTGAATGGTTTATTGTTGATTTTGTTTCTGTCAACCATCAATTGCCTACTTGCGTAGAATGTAATTCAAATAATGAAGAGATATAGGAACATTCTTAGGAATTGGCCTTGAATTGGCATTGTAAATCAAATTATCATACTAGGTGGCCCAGATTCAATGCTCTCCTCTATATCAACAATGTTAATTTGATTCATATTTCAAATTCGGTACATCAATTAGAGAAAATAATGCGCTCACTATGGCAATCAAAAAATGTTGGTGATCCATCTTAATTTCCTGTAATTCAATCAGGATTAACAAGTAGAAGATTCAATAGCACGTTAATTTGTTTGTCAAACAACAGTGTTATTGAATATGTATAAACATCCTTCAATTGGAAAAAGTTCATGCATGTGTCCTAACTTGCTTTATTTTCAATATATAGGGTGTTAAAATTGATGAGAGCAAAAGTCAAAATTTCATATTATGATTCATATATATGTATTGAAATAGGGAGCTATCGAGATTTCATTTCAACTGAAGAAGCAACAAAAGTGGCTCAATAAGGTATTAGGAAGTTTTATTTTTAATTATTTATTCAAATACGAAATGAAAAGAAGCACCGCCTACTATACCAGGTCATTAGTGTGACACCCTGTATCTCAGAAAAGAAGGAAGTTAGGATAATATGGATACATGTTTATAAGAATTCTTTTCTATAAAATATGTATAGTCAAAGTACTGATTATTCTGGAAGCAACCCATTTTGATATCAAGAATGACATGAATGAATGACATCTGATGACAGCTTATATTGTGAAGAGAGGAAAGGGTCTAGTTGGTTATGTTGTCATGGATTGGAGAGCTTGATGTTTGATTGGATAATGTTTTTGATTCAGTGGAACCGATTCATGATTGTAAAAGGTAAAACCTTATTAATTCTGCTTCAATTGGATTCAAATAACACAAGGTATCGTCAGCATCACCTCCTGGATGGACGTGTACACAACTTTGTTGTTTTATTTTTGGACATATAAAATAGTACCTTCTGAAAACGAACCCTCTTATGACGTAGAAACCTAATCTCGCCATAGTTAAAAGAAAATACCAAACGCCCGACAGAGACTGAGGCAACTGACATAATAATTCTTTGATCTCGCGCTAATTCACTCTGTCAGAAATCATGTATCATTCAGATCTGCCTGGAATAGTCTGGGTTTTAACGTCACATCATCGCCTCGTTTTCAGAGGTACGAAAAATCTGGGATTTCAATAATTTTTTATAAAACGTAGGGAGCTCTCAGCAAGAAACGGTTTGCGGTGGTGAGCTAGTTTGGGTGAGTTCTATAGAATTATGAAATAACATTTTTTTGTGATATAAGCCCATTGAAGTCAAGAGTTATGAACCATCCATTCGAACCACCATCAAAAAGAGATGATGATGATGAAGTTTCGATAAACATCAGACTTCCCATGTTAATCCAGATTTCGATAATTAACTGAACTTTCGTTACCATTTGCGAGACCATTTGGTTTCAACTATAAAAGTTGTATCAAGTTCCACCAACTAATAAATATTTGACGTGTGCCTTTTTTCCGGGATTGATAAAAATTGTTTGATATCTTCATTTAGAAGAGATCTCGTTATGTATGTATGCCTGCTGCTGGTGTCCATCTCGACGAATCACCCTGTATATAAACCTATTTAACCAGGCGCTAACGATTCACACGGCGAACAATGGCTATAGAAATAGGAAATTCTATCAGGTGGAAGTAAAAGAAAGTATTTTCAATTTACATAATGTATGCGCTCGTGAAACGTTTCATTAAGTATATTTTTTATCAACTAATGCCAATTGATTTATAGCAGACTCATGTCTTTTTTGGCTAATGATGAATCTTCGGCATTTGTATAATATGTCATATATAACGATAATGTTAATGATGTGCATGCAGATTAGGATCTTATCTCAGATGGTATAATATGTTGAGTTAAAAAAAGGAAAAGTTTCTTCCTATTTTACCTATATATTTCCGATATTCTGTACAGTCAGTATATCTATATATTTATTTATTTATTCAGCAAGAGCTAATATACAAGTCAATGTAATATAAAAACAGTCATAAGGGAACATCTAGACACTCAATTCACATACTTAAGATCAACACAAAAGGTACAATAAAAATACAGGGCATTAAATAAACGATTTGGAATCTTCAAAAGTTTGAGTTGGTTCGTTTCAATAAATGCATATTTAACTTGGTCTTGAATGTATTGAAAAATGTATTGGAAAATGCATTCTTCACGTCAGATGGCAAGTCATTATATTGTTTCAATCCTTAAAAAAAAAGGAATTTTCTGCCAATCTTTCACTCCTCGGAAAAATGAAAGTGTTCTTTTTTTCTGGTGTTATGATGATGTATTTCTTCATTATAAGTCAGCTTATTTACCAAATAATTTGGTGCTTCACCTCTTTGTATTTTAAAAACAAATGCTAATACCAAAAATTCAAAATAATCCTCAATAGGCAGCCAATTTAAACTTTTTAACATATCCTTTATGGGTGTGTACTTATTACATGCTGATATAGCATTGCTCTGTTTTGCAATATTCTTGAAAAAAAAAAATGGGAGGTAGCGTAAACATCTCGACAAATTAAATATTCCATGATTCATTTTTGATATTATATAGTTCGCATGTTCTCGGAATGATAGTTTAGGATCTACTATGACTCCTAAATATTTGAATTACTCTCAGAATTACTCAACTTTTTCGATACAATCATTTCCAATCTTCAAGTAATATTTACTTATTTTCAACTCTTGTTGTATTGTTTCCTTCCCGATCAACATAAATTTAGTTTTTGATACATTGATTTTTAGTAAATTCTGGCATGAATAGTTGAAAATCTCATCCAAAGCAGATTGTATTACAGATATCACGTGAAAATGCATATATTATTGTATCGTCCGCAAAAATATGAATATTGATGTTGATGCCCAGATTTATAAAATCGTTGATGTACAACACGAAAAGTAATGGCCCTAATATACTGCCTTGGGGTACACCAAAATCATTTACCGCTTCTGCAGATGAAAAGCCATTAAAATTAACTTTTCGTTTCCTATTTTGCAAGTAACTATATTGAACCACATGAGGCTGCATGAGAACACTCCCAGTCAACCCAATTTTCTTGACAGAAATATATATTCTTCGGATATATAAGAGGAATGAAATTTCGAATTTTGTATAAAATGCCAGTAATTGGATTTAGCTTTTTTCTCAGGTGATCTATATGTTCAGTCCACGATAATTTTTCATCAATATAAAGACCTATAAAAATTTCCGATTAGATTGCGTTGTCAACTTACAAAAATCACATCCATCCAGTTCATCGCAAATCTGATTCTAGCACTCAAAATCACAGGACCGTCCACAAACATATATCACATTTCGCACCTCTGGAGACCTCACGGATCTACTAGCAGATAGCAGCAGCTCACTTGGAGCATTTCGCAGGAAAACGTATAGCGATGTCTTCGACAGTGGGACATAAGAAGGGGGGGCTTGGCCGGTACCGCAATGAAAGTGACATGTGAGTTTGTCCTCAACTTCTTCAGATACTTCTTCCGATGAAGACATTTTGAGTCGTGAAACATTCATTAAAATTACGTTATAGTCCAAGAGCTGGCTTCAAATTTCGACCGTCATCTGACATCTGACAACGAAATAATAATACATATCTAAATAACACCGAAAAAATTCAAGGGGTGATTTCATGTGATATTTTAGGAAATAAAGTTTACATTAACATGTGTCCTAACTTGCTTCATTTTCGAGATACAGGGTATTAATATTGTAAAATACTGATTTCAATGTATTTTTTATCAAGAAAATATGTGACTGACTTTTCTTTCTTTATTTTCCATCAACTTCACATTGATTCTTTTTTTTATATCAAATTCAACTTTTTCTTCCGCTAACTATCATGACGATAATACAGTGTCTACAATAGCATTTCAAAATAACAATACTGCGACATTCTCCCCACCGTGAAATCTTCAATTTTCACCCTGTAGATCTATTCGGCACAATTTGGTAACTGGACGACGATATACACCGTTTTTCGTTTTGACCTCGACGACTCGTACTATTCCATCATTACCAGGGAACAACTTTTCAATTTTTCCTAGGGGCCATGACTTTCGAAGAAGATTTCCATCACAAATTACAACAATATCTCCAACTTCGATAGATTTTCCATCTTCTATCCATTTTCCTCTTCTGGAAATGCTCGGCAAGTATTCTTTGATCCATCTAGACCAAAATTTTTCAGCCAAACTCTGGGATTTCTGCCACTGGCTTCTCAAATTAGGGTCTACAAATTTATCCAGGAACGGACTTCGACTTTCAGAACAAGAACTGATGAGAAGATGATTTGGAGTTAGAAAATGTGGATCTTCTGGATCGGTCGAAACATGAGTGAGAGGTCTGCTGTTAACAATATATTCCGCTTCCAAAAACAGAGTATGTAGAACTTCTTCCTTCGGAGCTTCCTCTTTGAGTGTTACTTGCAATATTTTCTTCACGGATCTGATCAAGCGTTCCCAACATCCTCCCATGTGGGGACTTCCAGGTGGAATGAAATGCCACGCTATTTCCATCTCAGGTAATCGAGAGACGAGTTCGGTTTCATTGGAGTTTTCATAAAATTTCAGTAACTCTTCACTTGCACCCCTGAAGTTAGTACCATTATCAGAGTACATATGTTGAATAGGCCCTCTTCGTGCTACCATTCTCCTTATTGCCATTATGGTACTATCCGTTGTGAGGGAATTTGCGATTTCCAGGTGAATTGCTCTCACAGACATGCAGGTGAATAGGACTCCCTACCGTTTTTCTCTGCGTCTTCCGATGGTTACATAAACTGGTCCAAAATAGTCAATTCCTGTATGGGTGAACGGTTTCAATCCAGGTGTTAACCTCATGATAGGCAGTTCTCCCATTTTAGGATTGTCTGGAACAGCTCTCCTTTTTCGGCAATAATTACAGTTGCTGAAGGTTTTTTTCACGGCACTTCTTCCCTTGATTATCCAGTATTTTCTTCTCACTTCATTCAAAATTTGGTTCTCTCCTTGATGTTTGAATTTTTCATGATAATGTCTCAAGAGAAGTTGCGTTATTCGATGTTTCGGGTCCAGAATAATCGGTTTTTTCACTGTATAAGGACCATGTAAAATACTGATTTCAATGTATTTTTTATCAAGAAAATATGTGACTGACTTTCTTTATTTTCCATCAACTTCACATTAATTCTTTTTTTTTATATCAAATTCAACTTTTTCTTCCGCTAACTATCATGACGATAATACAGTGTGAACTACAATAGCATTTCAAAATAACAATACTGCGACAAATATTTTCATGAAAAATAATTTTTCCATTCATTTCTCAATTGTCTTTTCATCAGGGCCCCCGCTACCATATGTGCAAAGTGTGCAATGCACACGGGCGCCATCCTTTAGGGGCGCCAAAACGGCCAAAACCCAGGGTCAAAAAATGAAAAATAATATTAATTTCAAAATGAAAGTTGAGAAATTAAATAGAATTAGATATAAATACACACGAAATTTCATTAGTATATGATCCAGTTTTATACTCTGCCGATTCCTATGTAGGCGGTAGTTCCTTGATTTTTCCTGTTGAGACCTGAATCATCCTTGAAGCGCTATAAAAGCGAAGCATATTTTCAAACCGATTAGATCACTGGACCGTGCAACAAGTGCATAAAAACAAGTAATCTCATTAATTTTCACATTAAAAGTTATTTTTTTTATCAAGTGTTGTGTTGTAAGTATAATATTTTGTTCATTATACTTTTCTTTTCAACAAATTACGTGCTAAATACCTGTTGACTGCAATTTCAACGGTTTGATTTTTCATAAAATGGTAAGTGTTCCCTACTGTATTTATTTATTTTATTTATTTAGAAAGCAAAGTTATCCAGCAGAGGAACTATAAATAGTCCTTCCAATAACAGGATAACACAGTGATACAAAATTGTTATCTTTACATGGGTTGCACCTACTTATTATCATTTAAAAACTAAGTAGCTACCTATTCCATAACTTTCATTCAAAAAATAACAATCTGAAGAAAACAACAGTAATGTCGGTATACACAATATCAACATATATGAATATAATTATATTGGTAGTATTTTCACACAGACTGGAAAAGTACAATGTGAACAAGAATTTATTTTAATTATTTTGTTATGATTTTATTCTGTTTGTTTCTTTTCGATATTTTGGTCTACAAATAAATATAACTTCTAAAGTTCAGTTTTTTGCTTTCTTTCAAGCACCCACCTACCTACCTACCTCCAAAAAAATAAATGAAAAAACATGATCCAAAATGCCTTAGGGGCGCCAAAATCCTTTTTTACACACAGGTGACATTATCAGATGAAGGTAGAAATATGCAGCCGGGTTTCCTACTATTATAAGTAGGCCTACATCATAATTATAAAAGATAATAAGGAAGGTCCCACTTGTTAGTAGCTTCTGTTTCCCTATATACTTGCATAATTCACAATGTCGTGTATGTTGTGATAATGAAGCAGTTTATCTATATCCGATTTTCTTAAATATTGAGAATTCCGACACTTATCACAGTTCAAATTCGAAATTCCTAAGAATTAGTAATGCTATTGTGAAGCGTTTCAGGATGGTGTGAATAAAGTTGAATTTTCAATTATTAAGAGGATGCTATCAAGGACATCCTATTAATCGCATATTATCGAATATTTATAAAAAAAACTCCGAAGTGTATCAAATCGAAAATAACCGAAATTTTTTGTGATCCTGCCTGATATAATAAGTGACTTTGGACTTTGTTGTTTTCAAAATTGACATTACTCACGGGTGTTTCAAATCATTAAATTGCTCATATTTTCTCTCATATAATTTGACAATTCGTATAGGTATGCAATCTATAGCCTTCGGTGATTGGTTAAATGATATTTTCAGTAGTAATACTATAAGTACTTCAAAATATTCGGGTTATCTGCTATACGCTCGACAATATTTGATGTATGACATGAGTAATTTTCATCTTCCATTAAGCATTCAACTACGACGGCATTTCACTTTCTTTTACCAATATGAAACGAAATTTCATCACTTGGAAGTGTTGCGCCACTATCTATATGATGAGTATGACAATCATAATTCCAAAAAAGGAACATCAAAATCATCATTATGATGATCATCAAACGTAATACTTTCACCTGTTTACTATGCACTAGGTACCTAGGCAGGTATATTCGCGATATCAGAGGTAATTAGGTATGTATAATGTATATATATATTTCCGAACACCTGATGACTAATGGTAAACTTGTATGGTATGCTATCAAAAAAAAATTACATAAAAGTTCTTAATCCCTCTCTCACTGCTCAACAGTTGATTTCAATTGTAGTCATGATGAATGACTGCCAATCATACTTCTATCTTGAATAGGACAGTCAATGGTCTCGTTGGAATCATTTGTATTATTATTCAATAATTAATACATTGCACAAATCAAATTATGAAGTTATTATTATTATTATTAGATTCTACGCACGAATAAAGGAACTATTAACCATAATAATTTGGAATAATGAATATACCACCTCCTCGATTAACCTACAGACAGTACATAATATACACACTCACCTAATACCTAATATTTGTTAACTGCTTATAAATGAGGATAATGGGTATGTTTGAACACAACTCAAACAGACAATTACAAATTACTGAAAATAGTGTAATAAGATGAAAATAATATAATAATAATAACTTTCAAAACATAAGACATAAACAATAACATAACCTAACTAACTAAACGGGAGTGACAGCCACCTTGGCCTCAGCCAGGTAAGCGAGAGCATTGGAGTTAGAAAGCAACAGTACATGAGAACTGAGAAGAAGAAGACTTTGAAGTGTGTGGAAAAAAACTCGCAGGCGACGTCCATGCAGGCGGCTATGCCATTGTTTTTCAAATCTCCGTCTTTGCCTTTGGCGATTGTCACTTGTTTTCATAAAAAAATTGTTTTCCTATTACATTACCATGATACTCTTGTGCGAATTACTGTTAGTTTCGTGTTTTTTAAATTCCATTTCGAAAATCAGTGTGTCCAGTTTTCAGTTGAGTGATAATTGGTATGTATATCTTATGGTCAAATGTATGTACACCAAAATTTTTCTAATCTTATAAAATGCATATACTTAGGTACCTAGGTATATTATTATAGTTCATTTTGTATTCATTGCTATTCCTTTATCTGGAGAAACGAGAGGTAGCATATCAGAGGCAGGGATTTCAGTCTCACAATAATTGTCTTCAACCCAAGATGGCTCTATATCATTTCACCGGTTGAACAAAGTATCAGTAGGAACAATAGTACCTACCAATACCTGTTGATAGTCATAACTCAAGCCAAGGTACCTAATTCCTGTAATATCCTAATACAAATGGTAGGTTGAGGTTGAAGATGGTTCACATTTATAAAGACCAGCAAAACCTGTTGATAGTGTTGATCCATACTCTCGTACCACCTAGAAGGTTCAAAATTAACAAACAACTAACATAATTCTGAAATATCAATTTATTTGGTATAATTAAAATACTTTTTACAATAATAAAAGAATATAAAAAATTGTAAAGAATCTAAAAAATGTAAACTGGATAAAAACAGTGAGCGTGATCTGGAATTGGACAAACACTTGATAATTATTAATAATATGGACATTCTTGGGGAAAAAACTCACTTCAAATATTTTCAACAATTCAAAAGCATTTGAAAGCTTGATCCCCTGTTTATGGAAATGAATAAATATACTGATATAATTTATGGTTCTTCATTATATACCAGGCGACAAAGACTCCTAGTATACAACAAAGCAGAAAAGGGGGGTATACCATGAGTCTGGGTCACCCGGTATAACAGCTATTGTTTTTCAAAATTTCTGGACCAAAATTGATATCACAGTAGTTTAAATGCAACCAACAGAATAGCCACAAAATGCGGTGTTGCCACTTGTATTAGAAAGTGAATGGAACACTGAGCGAATTTAAGTAGTTATTCTTCAACTGATATGTAGGACCTATTGATGGAAAAATCATTTTTCTCCCGCATTATATGGCTACTTCCACAGATGGAAAGATTTTGTGAATATACCTTACAAAATTTCTCCAAAATTAAAGTACCTGCTTTTGTCCAACTCCAGCTTGATTCATGGCAATATTAAACAATCAATGGCAGCATCAGAGCCAATTCCACACCTTCCCTAACAAACCTCATCTTAACGTTAAGTAACAGGTCTTCAACAATGATTGTCATTTCTACCCATGCTAAAGAGATAGGAATGTATTCTTGGTTGGTGGTGGTTTTCAATCATTGTTGAAGACCCGGTATAACTCGAATATAATTTCTATTGCACCATAATTTCTCAAACGCCCTCAGAAATGTGGTAGTCAACAATGATCTGTAAGCAATTTGAATCAGATCTAGCTAGCTTCATCATCAAGAAAAATAATATGTTCTCTGTTATAAAATCTCACATCAGCCAGTACATGCATTTTCATATCATAAATAGGGTTGGGAAAATATTACTTCTGATTTCTGATTTATACTTAAAACTTGAAATGTCACTAAGAATTTACATCAAGAATATACAGGGTTGTGGCATAGGAACCAAGTGTTTTTAGTTTGGGTAGCCATTAAAAAAAAGCGATTCCTACTTGTAGTCGTACAGCATGAGTTCACCATAACTTGAAGCATAATCACAAACTTCAAGATTCAAGAGATCTGTGGCTGTTCCATTTCCTGTGAATTTCTGCCTAGGAATCCCTATATTACATTCCAAATAAGAAGATAGTAGGTGGCGCTGTCCCTGAATGAATGTTTACACTGACGAAATAAATATTTACGGCGCCTAATTCAAAATCATGACCATTCTAATTTCCGAATTCCACTTTACCTAAGGATCTATTGAAACATGAAATTTCGAAAAATAAATGAAATTTGATAATGTGTGATCGTATTTCCATGAAGAAAACTTCAACCTTCAAGTCACATCATGAGTCAAGTTAACCAATTATAGTGAAACAAAAACACACACACACCCTAACCCTCTCTCAGACACAAACCATCTCAGGAGAAAAAACGCTTCTCTATGATTTTCAATACTGTCTTCTTAGTTGGAATGGACTATAGATCATTAGATCCCTAAAATTTCAATAGAAATGATCTAGTCGTCTGTGAACCTTGCCAAATCAGAATTTCAGATTCTGATTATCAAATTTCCTGGGATTCATAGATTAAATCTACGAATAAAGAGAACCAAGGAACTGCCCAATCACTCTGGAAGTGAAGCCATAATCAAGGCACCAAACAGATTTGGTACTCTCTGTACGCACGCCCGTGAATGGCTAACACACTAACCTCACACTTTTCCTCTTCAATAATAACTGTATGTGCAATTATTTGACAAGCTTTGTTACATATACATAACATTATGATGAAAGCGAATTTAGCAAATATCTATTTTTATTCATATAACACTGCGAAAACAAAGTCCTCAATGCAGGACTAAACTATGATAATTGATCCAGGGTTCTTTCTTATTACTCGAACTTACACATTTATAAACTGAATACGTCACCATATCTTAAAGAAATATGTAAATACAGGAAACATTCAATAATACTATTATCAATTATTGCTGATATTGAATTGAAATCGCCAAGCATCAATGTCACCAAAAGATGGCCGACCCGGCTTCATTCGTGTTCAGTTCCCCAGTTCTATTCATTCATAGGATTTAACAATCTATTTTTGCGCTGTTGCCAACTCGAAATTATTCACGAACAACCTGAAACATAACGAACAAGCCGATAGTACGAACGTGTTAAGGAACTTGCGGAACCGCCCCATCATCAGAGACTGGTCATGGCGGGCGGGCGGGCGTACGCCTTCGGTATGAAGCCGTACTTTCTCGTTTTGGGCGCGTACGCCCACAGCCACCCGTCGACCGTCTGGTTGTCGAGATCGGCGTAGATCCAGTCGCCCCTACGGACGGTGAGGTCGTCGGGCGCCTGCGCTTTGTAGTCGTAGAGCATGACGAGCTCGGTGCCGTGGTAGCGCAGGTCGTCGGCGTTGGAGGTGGGCGGGGCGTGCGGGTTGGTCTGGTTGGGGAAGGGGCCCGATCCGGGCTGTGTAGAGGGGTTCAGGTGGCCTGGAAAAATTCGTGGTTTCTTATTATTATCATTGAAAAGTGGGAAGGCTGAGGTGTGAACCTATAAAAGCCAATATTCGTGAAGTAGGTATATGCTACACATACACAAAAACTGCTTATAATGATACTGAATCCCGCCAAAATTAAAACCGGCACAATGCTACCTGACGAATGGGGAAGACCACTGAGAGAAGAAATCCGTGCAAACCTCTTTCAATCGACGAATCATGATTTACGTATGATGTACAATCAATATTATGAGTTAAAGTTGAAGGAAATCGAATCTATATCGTTTTGAAATCAGCATGTTTCATTCGATATTTCAAACAGCCAAATATGATGGTGGAGTCGTGACGTATTAGTCCCGAGCTGTAGCTATCTCTCTCTGATACCTCGTCATTCTGCAGTGTTGCACTGTGATTGGTCAGTTCAAGGACAATAGGTGTGTTGGGAATAAGACGTCGCACCAGTCACACCAATGAATTGGCATAATTTCAAATGGCGCAGGAATTGTGTGTTTTGAAATGGACATATTCTAATTTATTTTTTCCATCGTCTTAGGCATGAATGAAAAAATTCAAAATTAATTCGCTGGTAGTTTTTCAGTATAGAGTTCACGATAATGTCGTTTTAAAAAATCAGTGGTCTCCCCCATTACGGACTATACATAATATATACCGGTTTGACTTACTCTAAGAGGAGAAAATATGGATTTTGTTGGAACCAATAACTCAAAAATGCCAGTTCTGCAGATATGGCCGGTTTGTTTTTACAGTGACGATATGTACAGCATCAAATGGGTGATAGTATATTACTCAATATGTGTTGTAAGATGCATATTGTGCAAGAATGGAAGAGTAATTGCTTTACACACGCATTATGTACTATACTTTACCTACTGCCATAAAGTACATCAACAAAGTTTGGACAAACAGCCTGAATTATAATTCTTGACAGTAATGTCATCCGCTGACATACCTATACTGGCGGAATAAACAAAAACTGTGCATAAAGAGCTAGTTACTGAGGCTGTATCTCTTGTGTATTTGCCTACTTTCTATAGTGGCCGTAGGTAAAACTTTGAATAATAATTCATTTCGAAATTCGAATTGAGCATTGAGTTTTGCTTTGGAAAGTATGAAAAATGGGCTACTCTGTCGGGGTCACGTGACTTTCATTACATGTCAAAAGTTAGATATTTTGAAATTAATCACTGAAAATATTTGTATTTGATTGAATTTCAAAAATGTTCACAACGAAAAGTTGTTCCTATTCCAATTTTACATATGGTCTCGAATTTGAACGTTCTATAACAACTTTTGGTTTTTGATATTTTTTCAATTTCTACGAAATGTCTGTGATATAAAAAAAAATAACACCGACAAAACTATTTCATTCTAGTAGCTTGATCATGCTACTAACTTTCAATCACTAATTATCGACAATCAAAATATCATCAAACTACTTTACAGATCTAACCAAAGTCAAGACAGTTTTGAAACTACTTTACAGATCTAACCAAAGTTAGGACAGTTTTGTCGAAGTTACAATTATTAGAAATCAAAAAATATCAAGAATTAAAAGTTGCAATAGAACGTTCAAATTCACGACTCATGTGTAAAATTGGAGAAGAAACAACTGTTTTACGGTTATCCTACGTCTCGGTCAGTGTTGCCAGGTCAACAATGAGATAAGCGATAGACCACATAAAAAGCGGTAAATTCAAAAATAAAACGGTAGATATAATTCGGAAATTGCAGTATTTGCCAACTACCAGTGGTATGACCAGCAATCTTGTATGAACTTACTTGAAATCATAAAGCTTCCAAAAGAACATTTTTTGTAAAACCATTGGCATTACATGATAATTATGGTTTATTAAAAAAAAAACACCTGAATACATCCGAAATACGTCTAGGAAATTAAAATAATACACTTTTGAGACACTATCAACCTTTGCTTAGGACCCTGACTGCTCAAGTAGTTCAATTAAAATCAAATGCACTAAAATATATATTTTAAGCAATGCAGCGGCGTTCTCTTGGAAAAACAAGTAAAATAATGTGTGTATACAGGGTGAATCACAACTAGCTTCCATTAAAAGTACATTCAAGAATTGAATAAAATCTGAGTTTGTGATAATTCTTGAAAATTCGATGAAAATCATCCTCTGAGTACATAGTGGTTGTTTAATGCTCATTCTCTTCAAAATACAATTGAAGAAGGTTGAAACTCAGAGTCAAAACTGAAAGAATCTGATATGGATAGCCAAACAATAGAAAATATAACTTTTAAAAAAGTTAGGATATTCTGATATGTTATCTTCAATCAGGATTGAAAAAGACCTGAGCAGAATTTCAAAATCAGCAGTGGATATCAAAATTATCATAAGTTGAAAAACTGGCATGAATATAATACATATCAAACTTGAAAAATGTCAGAATTTTATTTCTAAAAATATTCTCTTGTCCTAATTTACCTTGTATCACATTATCAGCAGGATATACAAATCCAGAAGGGATGAATCCTTCTTGGCCATCACTTCTTACAATCCAGTACCAATCTGGATCTTCTCTATTGAGAACTGAAAATAACAATTTCATTCAATAATCCAATTTCTACCACACAGTAATAATTATAATGTTGTCTTCATTAATTCCTCTCTTGATTGAAGTTAATATTTTGTTCTATCATCTCAATTTTTGAAGATGTATTAGAGGCTTATTTTCTTTTGGTAACATGTTTTCGAAATTTCAATTATGTTCTTCAATTTCTTTATGTCTGGTATCAATGGAAAAAAAATCATAAAGAAATATCACCTGTTACAAACTCTCCTCTTTCAACTGATACATCATTTTCATCCCTTGCAATGAAAGTATACAGTACAATATAGCGTCCAGATGGATCCTTTGAAAAAGGTATCATATCTGGTTCAGAATGAATACTGATAGGTGAGGCAGCACCTGTTGCATGTTTTTTGCCAAGGGAATCACAGTCACTAGTATCAATGGCAGCAGCATCACTAAAAAATTGCAATGATTAGTAATAGAAGTAATTCATATTTCTACACAAATATCTCATCATCATTGTTTGAGAATTTGTTTCATTTGGCACTCAATTTGGCATCAGAATCAGAATTGGTTCCTATTTTCATAAGTAACTTACCAGTCATTACTTGGATCTAAACTCTCTCCAGAAGCTAAATGTGCTTCTCTTGGAAGTTTTTTCTTTATTGCTAACTCTGCCAGATGATTATTGTAAGGAGTGCAATATGAGTATGGAATGAATCCTTCTTGCCTTGTATCTACACCTATCACATATACCCAATCATTTTCACGGTACAAAATATTAACAATCTAAAAAAAATATACATAAATTTAGCAGACTGTTGGATCAACCAACAATGGTATCTTGGTTATCCTCCAACTTTGGCAAAACAAACTTTTACAAAATTAGTTTCGGTGTACTTTTTATTGAAAAGTATTAGGACAAGTTATGATGGACATGTGGACATTAAACATACAACTTGTATGGGGGACAAGTAAAACAGCAGGAATACAGTACCTGTCCTCTTTTGACTTCTAATTCATCATCAACACAAGGGGTGAAATCATGTAAAACAACCATTTTGCTATCCGGAGACAGCCCATGTTCCTTTTCAATTCCAACTCTAACAAGTGTTTCAATACTAGCAGATCCTGTGATCCTGCCCATACCAGGTGTAACCCCATTGTTGGTTCTGGCAAGTTCTTTTTCCAAATCAACACTTGCAGCTGGAATTTCAGAAGGTAATCAGCCAAGTGGCAGAGAGGGAGAGAACAGTTAACTCACCTTTTTTCTTTTTTCCACGTCTAATGCGAACAGGGCATAAAAATGCCATTTTGAGTGATGTTCACATAATTTTTCCAACGCTCCTAAGCAGCGAAACTGTTTGGATCGCACTTATTTTTATCAACTATATATTCCCTATATTTTTGTTTGTCCAATTCATTGACCTTTTGTGGCTCGGACGAGTCAGACGACAGCAGCGAAGAGTCGAAGACAGACATCAAAACAAAAACCAGTCCAAATCAAAATTTCTGGTTTTCACAGCTTCCCTCAGAACCACGCATCTCTCAGAATCTCATCTGTCCATCTGTCATCTCTCATCTGCATCCTGCATCTTGCATCTTCACTTCTTCTTCTTTTTTATGATTATAGATAAATCAGGACACAGGCACTACACACCGATTGCCTGAATTAATATTTTCATATTTATACAGGGTGTCCCAAAATTACATAGAAAGATTTCAACCACAGATTCTATTAACAAAAATAGGATAAAACTGCATTTATCATGCGATGGTTTATTTTTTCGAAAATTTCTTGTGGTACTTACGTATTTTTGTCTGTATTTGATAATAAAAATGTGAACAAACCACTATATATCGAGATATTTCAAGAAAAAGTTCGAAATTTCCCCTTCTTTTGTGTTTGTCATTGGACACTTTATATACTCATGATGTACTTCAATGACACATTTTTACATAGAAAATTCAACAGGAAATATGAATTTAGTAGAAGGGTACCTCTGTCGTGTTTTCATAGAGACATAAAGGTGAATATATGTCTTATCTGTTTTCTTGAGAATCTGGAAAGGATACCAATATATTGCCTTCCGTACGAATATTATGTTCTGAATTATGCAAAGTATACTCTGGTCAGGTCTCTTCGCGGATCTTCTGTTTCGTTCGTCTTGACTGGGTGATTTTCTCCGATTGAGAGGCAAGTATCAAACACTGCTTTTCGGATCTGCAACTAAACATCACATATTAATCGAAGTACATTCAAATCAGAAAATTAATATCAACAGATGAAGTACATGGATGTTGAATCTGAGACATACCTGAATGATATTTTCATCGTCCTTGAGTGGATTGCTACATATCCGCTTTCTTTCCGAATAGTGGTTTTTCCAGTAGGCATCTTCCACATTTTCAATTACGTGGGTTATATTAAGGACCTTGCATGCCAAACAATGTGCTGTTCGTATCTAAAACTGAGGATCAATTTCAAATTTGAATCGTGAGACCTACATAGAATTATATTCTATGAAAAGTCTGGATAATGTTTTGAACATTCGTAACTGGAACGCGATATATTTTTGTAATTCATCAATTCATCAACTATCTCAATGAAGACGAGACAGGCAGATAAACAACAATTTTCTCTGCAATGAAGAACACTGTATATACCTAACCCACCATGCGCCTACCTCCTTTGCAGAGAGGGTTTATAAACGCCGAGTTGATACTCTCCCCTCGTAAGGGTACCTGTCGTGTTTCCATAGAGACATAAAGGTGAATATCTGTCTTATCTGTTTTCTTGAGAACCTGGAAAGGATATCAATATATCGCCTTCCGTACGAATGAAAGGATCTGAATTCTGTAGAGTATACTCTGGTCAGGTCTCTTCGCGGATCTTCTGTTCGGTTCGTCTTGACTGCGTGGTTTTCTCCGATTGAGAGGCAAGTATCAAACACTGCTAGAATAATGACTGCTTTTTGGATCTGAAACTAAACATCACATATTAATCGAAGTACATTCGAATCAGAAAATTAATATCAACAGATGAAGTAGGTACATGGATGTTGAATCTGAGACATACCTGAATGATATTTTCATCGTCTGTGACTGGATTGCTACATATCCGCTTTCTTTCCGAATAGTGGTTTTTCCAGTACGCATCTTCCATATTTTCAATTACGTGGGTTATATTAAGGACCTTGCATGGCAAACAATGTGCTGTTCGGATCTAAAACTAAGGATCAATTTCAAATTTGAATCGTGAGACCAACATAGAATATGAATCTATGAAAAGTCTGGATAATATTGTTTCCAACATTCGTAACTGAAACGCGATATATTTTTATAATTTATCAATGAATCAACTATCTCAATGAAGACGAGACAGGCAGATAAACAACAATTTTCTCTGCAATGAAGAACACTGTATATACCTAACCCACCATGCGCCTACCTCCTTTGCAGAGAGGGTTTATAAACGCTGAGTTGATACTCTCCCCTCGTAAGGGTACCTGTCGTGTTTCCATAGAGACATAAAGGTGAATATCTGTCTTATCTGTTTTCTTGAGAATCTGGAAAGGATATCAATATATTGCCTTCCGTACGATTATATTGATCTGAATTCTGTAAAGTATACTCTGGTCAGGTGTCTTTGCGGATCTTCTGTTCGGTTCGTCTTGACTGGGTGGTTTTCTCCGATTGAGTGGCAAGTATCAAACACTGCATCTCTGATCTGCAACAGAACATCACATATATCAATCGAATCGAATACGGGGGGAAAAGAGATATATAGTATACAAAAAATATAAGATGAAGTATTGAACACGGATATACTGGCAGTATTGTTTTCGAAAGTCTAATGATTCAGAAATATTTAATCTAGGCTGAAAATATAATCTTTCCCAAAATCTCTAGATATGTTTTGTTAACTGGACAGAAGAGGAAAATAATGAACAATGTAGTCTTTTTTTTATAAGCGCGCATCCAAATTGTCATTTGGTATAATAATAATAATAATATGTTTATTTCGACAGAATCAGAATACAATGAAAGAAATAATGGTAGCAAGTTAACATTAGGTAAATAAACATTAGAAAACCCACAGAATAAGCAGCAAATGCTGCTTGTACGTGTTGAAAAAGTATGAATAATTTCGTTTGACGAGCTATTATTGGAAATACTGAGATTAATAATTTTGGAATATAAAACTAAGTAGGTACAAAAATTCGAGAGTGTAAAATATTTATATACAAAATAATCAAAATGGATAGATATAAAAATGAATGTAATAAAAGAACTCCGATGTTAAACAATCACAAAAACTTCGGAGACGTATAATATACAGGGTGTCCCGAAATTAGCCTGCCAAACTTCAGCAGCGGCTTCTTCGACCAAAAATAGGAAGAAAAGCTCCAATGAACATGAATCGAGAAATATCTTCTAAGGGAGCTACGGCTCCTGAAGATGATATTTCTTGAATATTTCCGAAACGCCAGGTGATAAAATATGATGCAATTTGGAACAAGAATTGAACTTCCCATGCCCAATGCGGTGAACATAAAATCATTTCGAAGTTTCATTCAGGAGTGTATAATAAAGGGCAGGACTTCATTAAATATTGCTCAAACTTTTTCGTATGCATATTTTTTGACAATTTGATCTCGGATCATGAAAAACCACACCATTTCACAACAAAAAGTGCTCTTGTTCCGCATCGATCAGATGTATCATTTTCGAGTGAAATCGATTTAAAAATATTGATGCACTCACATCTTATGCATAACGTTGCCAATTTTTGAATCATAGTGGCTATAAAAAAAATCAAGTACTTCCTTTTCACCAAACAATCTCATAAAAGCGCGAAAAATAGAAAAATGATAATGAAAAACTACTTCAATTTTTGTGCATTCTTTTCCATTTCCACTACGCCTCATTGCAATGTTATGCATAATATCTGAGATCTAACAATATTTTCAAATCACTTTTACTCGATAATAATACATCTGATCGTCACGGAATAGGAGTACCTCTTTTCTATAAAGAAGTGCGAAATTTCATAACCCGGGATCAAATCATCGAAAAATAGGCATACAAAAAATGTTTAGCAATATTTAATGTAGTCCCACCCTGTAATATACACTCCTGATTGAAATTTTGAAATGATTCCATTTCAACTGCATTGGGCATGGACATTTTAGTTCTTGTACCAAATTGCATCTTTTTATTACATGGAGTTTCGGAAGTACTCAAGAAATATCATCTTCAGGAGCCCCTTTTCGGGGGGCCATAGCTTCCTTAGGAGACATTTCTCATGTTCATGAAAAGTTTTTTTTCTGGTAGTAAAAGCCGCCAGTGAAGTTTGTCAGCCTAATTTCGGGACACCCTGTATATGTATATAAAATTACTGACAATACTGAAATAAATAATTCCGGAATATGAATCTTCGTAGAAAAATTCAAGAGTGTGAAATACCTGATTAATTTGTGTGTGTGAAAATGTAATGAGCACTCGAAAATATCTAAAATAATTGACAAATTGTTCTATGGAACGAAAATCCATCGATAATTTACCTAATTCGGCTCTAATTCAGTTGAAATTTCAGGACAGGTTATTTTTTTGTAATAAAATTGGATTTTTTGAATAACGAGTTCAATAAAAATTCAATTTTTCAAATTGGATGCACACTGTTAAAAAAAGAAGTTTTTTGTTTTGCCTGAAGACGGATCTGGATTCTTAATTCGATTCATATTTAGTTTTGATGACAAAATATGAGTTGAATATACCTACCAAGTATGAATCGATTATACACAGTGGTTCAAAAGTAATGACCTGACCATAGATGAAGATTTTTTCAAAATCAAGATGACGTTCTATATCACAGTTATTAAAGATAGTAGATATTCCTAAAAAGTACAGTTTTGAACAGAAAGCAGGAAAATCAGAAGAAAGTATTCCTTGATCGGAAAAAATACAACAAACGATACGAAACATACATTTCACTATATGGAGAATCAGTCGGAAGAAATCCATGAAAATATGCATGTGATCAGAATTCTGAATCTTGAACCACCCTGTATCTGTTCCGATTAAATATCAGTAAATAGTGAAACAAATGTTGAGATAGGGACATGTGAGCCGTTCTGACCGATAATGAATATCTTCGACACAAAAAAATCCTAAAGTTAAAAAATATCGATTTTGAACACCCTATATCTCTGTAATCATTTTCGATAGACCCCAAGTATGATACATCGATGAAATCAGCTCTTCAGGGAGAATCTTAAAATGCGATAAAATACAGGGTGTTCCGTTCGAAATATCAATGTTGCTACTACTTTCTAGTAGAAGCGGCTACACTGCATTGTCGAACATATCTTAAATGAAAAGAGCGTATACCAAAATACAAGCATGCACATTTTCATGAATTTCTTCCGACTGATTCTCGATTTAAAGATAGTGTAATGAAGTTAAATGAATACAGAGAAATATGAGGAAAAATTGAGAGAATTTTTCTGCACTTACCAGCGTGAAAAAAGTAGGGCTTTGATGACATTACGAAACACTAGATTAACACAGGATCCCGATATTATTATTATTGAATCGAATGAGGAATACAAAAACACTATATACGAATCAATACGATCGCTCAGTTTTTTAGGGAACACTCATTTTGGAACGATAAATAATTCCTTTCGCGTATTTTTCGATGTCGATCACAAAATTCGACCTTACATGATGACATCTAATATAAGACTGTTTTAATTTACCACCTGGTCCCGAATGAATTACTAATAAGCTGAATCATGCTGATAACCGATAAATCCCCAAACAAATGATTTATCTATGCTAATGATGATAATGGAATTATACGGGGGTAAATCTATAACAAATGACGATGAAATTATACGGGGGAAAAGATATATAATATACAAAATATAAGATGAAGTATTGAACACGGATATACTCTGACCATTGTCGATCTAAATGAAAACCTAGTAGGCGACCTAGTGCGAGGAGGTCTAGGTTGACATCTAGAACGACAATGCTCTGACAGTATTATTTTCGAAAGTCTAATGATTGAACACAGGCTGAAAATATAATCTTCCCCAAAATCTCTAGATATGTTTAGATTGAACTGGAAAGAGTAGGAAAATACTGAACAATGTGGCCTGCTTTTTATAAGCACGCATCAAATTTGACATTTGTGTGTGTGAAAATGTAATGAGCACACGAAATAAATAACTAAGATAATTGACAAATTATTTTACGGAACAAAATCCATCGATAGTTCACCTAATTCAGCTCTAATTAAGTTGAAATTTGAGGACTGGCTAGTTTTTTTTATAAAATTGGATTTTGAATTACGAGTTCAATGAAAATTCTCTTCTTCAAATTGGATGCGCACTGTTAAAAAGTAGACCAGTTCATTGATTTTTCCTGCTCCTTGCAGATATCAGAACATATCTACAAAATTCTAATATAAAGATAAATAGTTTTCTCGCAATATCTCAAGAAAAATTTAATATAATGCATTCAAATTCGGTATATGGTTTCATCTTTCAATGGTCTATTTTTTGACCAGAAAGACATTCCGAGAATTTTATCCAGAGGTGCGCTACAGAGGGTTGTGATAACTTTTCCTCACACATTTTCTACGCCACTGATTGTGTTTCGATTATCTCCAACCCACAACCCCCTGTAGGGCACCACTGGATAAAATGTCCGGAATGGCTTCCTGGTCAAAAAATGACCCATTCAAAGATGAAACCATATACCGAAGTTGAATGCATTATATCCAATTATTCTTGAGATATTGCGAAGCAACTATTTTTATTTGTTGACTTCAACGCCCTGTATCTCAAGAACTGAACACTTGAAGACAGTATGTCCCTATCTCAGTAATTATGAAATCACGAGGTCTATCACCTGTCAAGCGTTGTCTGTCGAATTTCGCAACACCCTGTATATATTATGCAATTTTCGGCAGTTTGACCAGGAAATATAAAAATATCATCATATCTATACTCGAACATTATAAATGAAAGATCAATTTCAAAAGTCTGCTGCGTAACAAAAATAGTGCCTTTTATACTTATACCAAGTGACACAGGTTATCGGGCCACCCTTGTAACTTCTGCATTCGTCAACGGATTTTTCTGAAATTCGGACAGTTTTATAAGCAACTATTTCGGATTTGATCACATTACAATCCAATATGGCGGACTTCCGGTTTTTCTGGAAATGCCAGCAATTTTGTTTTTTCAAATGGAACACCCTGTATATTTTCACATATTCAAGTTCAACAGGTCAAAACAAGTGCAATCTTGATGTCAAATGTCATTTATTCCACAGCCTACCTAGTTGAAAAATTATTCTAAGTGCAAGGAAATTCATAAACTAGTTGTTGATTTTTGAATGTATACAATTTGTTACTGGACCGAAAAACAAAAATGATATGTCATTTTGTTCCTTAATGTATGTTCTAGAGAGACGGGTAGGGGGCCCATAGGGGTTCCATTTGAAAAAAAATTATTTTTGATCAAAAAGTGATGTGGCTGAATTGATTCCTGGATAAGTGACACAAAAAATAATTTTTCAGAAAAAAATATGTTCTTCTGTTATGTGTGACTCATTGTGAATAGTCTTGACCACATCTCATTTATCCACGAGGTAAAATGAAAAAACAATTTTAATTTAATTTTTTTCGAAAAAATTACATTTGAAATAAAGATTGCACTTGTTTTGACCTGTTGAACCTGAATAGGTGAAAATATACAGGGTTATTCATTTGAAAAAACAAAGTTGCTGGCATTTCCAGAAATACTGGAAGTCCGCCATATTGGATTGTAATGTGCACAAATCCGAAATAATTGCTTATATAACTGTACCGAACTTCAGAAAAATCCGATGACGACAGCAGAAGTTACAGGGGTGGCCCGATACTCTCTGTGTCACCCGGTATATAAGGGTACCAAATTTTCGCAAAAATTAATTTTTGATAGCAAATACCCTTCTTCAAATATCTACTCGTGATTTTTGAATCAGAATATGAGAGGAACAATAAAAAGAATAATTTGAAGAATAATATGCAAGGTATCCGCTATTGAGAATAAGTACCATATTTATTACGCAGCAGACTTTTAAATTCGATTTATCTCGAAAATGGTGATGGCTATAACTCCCCAGGAGGCCATGTTTATATTAACTTTTTTCACTCATTTTGTTCCTAGAGAGTCTGCGGTTGAAATCTTTCTATGTAATTTCGGGACACCCCCTTCCCTTATATGCCCCACTTTCTGTTGTGAGTACTAGCACGTACCTGTGTTATGCAATAAATAGATGGAGAATGAAATGAATGAATATATATTATTATTTACAGCTTAAAATTATGTACAAAACGTAAAGTATATCAAGAGTAGGTAATCATTTGTCGTCTTTGTTCAACGATTGGTAGTAATCGGCAATGACCTTCCATGCTTTCGCAGCCATGAAACCTTCTGGTGGGTCTTCCCCCGATTTCGCGAATTCTGAAACAAAAATTTACACACACAGTAAGTGATGTTGATGAATAAGTGTTTCTGGCGTGGGACTGGTCATGTTATTTCTATTTGTCAGGTAGCGTAGGTATCACTATAACCTTCCTACAACCTAGAGTCACTGGATGGTATTAAAAACCAGAGTCACTGGATGGTATTAAACACCAGAGTCACTGGGTGGTATTAAATACCATCCAGGACAGGAAACCTAAGGTTGAACCTATAATCGCCATTTTATGTTCTCTCCTGACAAAAAATAAATAAATAAATACTGTCATTGAAAACTGAAAAGCTTAGAAACATTATACGACTTCGCTATTGAAATAATCTCTTCTCATGTTGAAAACGGGAGCAGAACCGGTCCCGAAACGTCCAAAGATAAGTGAAAATTTGATATTTTTTCTATATAGGTACCTTTATTTCCCTTCTCCAAAAATTTTTTCAATACAAATTGTCACTGACAAGCTAGTTAATTTTTCTTTTAGGCTCTCTGATAGGAAAATTCTTTAAACGCAGTGACATTTTGGGGCAAATCATCTGATTTGTCCTTACTACACGTATATTGAAATAATATTCATATTTTTATTTTATAGAAACGAGGAGAGAAAATCCCAAAAAATTTGGAATGATGAATAAACAAATAATTCGGTCATATAGTATAGGTACTCAGAATTCTGACAAACAAGTCTGAATTCTGACATAAAATTCAGAATCCTGATACATATAAGTCAGAATCCAGACAGAAAACCTAGAATTCAGTTGTAATAAAAAAATATGTCACCCAGCGCATTTTTAAGTGGTTCTAGATAGGGTACCTTGATGTAAATTGACGTATTTGTCATCTTAACAGGGTACGACGGACAGATCCTCGTCTCCTCTCACTCTAAATTGTTTGTGAAACAGTTATATATTTCCATTTTTATTCATTTCTGGGAATAAACACTAGCTTTCTGACATTTGTTGTTTTTCAGGTTATGTATTGAGGACATTGGTGTATCATACGTAATTTCCACATGTATTTTCTCATTCAACTCTACATATCATATCCAAATGATGAAGAAAATTTTCGAGTTTTCGATTTTTCAACTCCAGCATAATCTTTGTGAGGCAGTGAGCAAATTTTTCTGAAAGTTTAATACGTTTTACGTAATGGGACTGTTTTTGGGCAGTACCTATCAATAAATTAATTTTGATTTCAGACTAAGCCTTATGATTGAGAAATGGTGAAACATTTTATGTAGGTATTCAAACTAATGTGCTCATATGTCATGTGTGCTTTATATATTCATGTTGGGAATCATTTTTGCAGTTCTTCACGAACATATAATATTTCCTGAATGTAGGTATAATTTTTCAAATGGTATAGAACATATATGCCTCTTCTTTTAGTCCTCCGTTTTAATCAAAACTGTTTCTACTAATATTTATTCAAAAACTTGTGGAGTGGATAATTATAGGCACAATGAGAAAGTATAATATGTGATGTGATTAGTTTTACCTCGAATATTTGACTGATGTATTTACCAATTTTCCCAATTCGGTCACTTCACTTTCCATGTTCTAAGTTCATTTGCATTCGATGGAAAGCTGACAAAATCAAATTTGCCATCCAACTGATTGATACAGCCTAACGCAGCACATTTTTCCATCCTTCCAAAACAGAATTGAATTATGTCGTATTAATATGAAATTACATTTTTTTAAGATCTCTTTTAACGCCTACGAATGTGACGTGACAGCGATGTCATATCAGGGACGCCAATACACGAAACCAAAGTCACTAGATGATCAAAAGAGGAAGGAGCTATGATCTGTCCGTACCCTGTTGGATGACAAATACGTCTCCCCCGTATCATCCATCAATATCTATTGTTTCCATGTATCTATTTTTGTGTTCCATGATCTGGGTGACTTGACATTTGACAGTTGAAATTTTGTGGTGTCAGTGTCACTGCACATGTAATTCCTCCTATTTAGCTGGTTATTTCCGAAGCCACATCATACTTTTCATTAGTTTGATATTTTCTTGGGTAATCGCCACTTTTCGGTGATTTAAGGGTACGTGGCCCTTATAAAATATGAACCCGACCCTTGAATGATCATTTCATAAGAATTTTAAAAATGTTTATACTTTTTTATAAAAGCACAATTTTACATTAACAGTAAGTTTCCGATTCTGAACTTCCTTTACATATCTATTTAACTGTTTGTATTCCAGATCATGGAGCAGTTGCCTTTGTTTGCTCTGTTATTGTCCACGTTATTTGAATTTCAACTTTTTTCACTTCCATGTAAGTAATCAATCATTGCATTATATCCTAAGTCAATACCGGTTTTTTCTAGAACTTTGAACTATTTTATCGGCTGATGATGGGCTTATATAAGCCCGAAACATGTACCATTGATGATCTTTGATCATTTCAATAAAAGTTGTGGAGATGACTTTGGGTTTTTCATCTATGAACTACACCACTCCACTTTGAGTTACCATCGACTTCTTCCAAAGATTACAAATACGTCTGTTTGCAACAAGGGACCCTAGTTCTAGAAAGGAAACATTTCTAATAGAGCCACTCACTCCTCATCTTGGTACCAGAAATGAAATCGAACTCGTCCTTCCTCGCCGGCTCGAAAAAGTCCATCTGCATGTTGGTCAAATCGTAGGCGGCCACCCTGAACGGCACGATCTCCAGCGTATCGAGCCCGGGAGCCATCCTCAGCACGCGGGCGCCGTGAGTCGCCTCGTAGAGGTTGCCGTCGGGGGTGGCTTCTCTGCCCCGGGGGTGGGGCACCCCGGCAGGGTCTCTGCCCACTATGTAGTGGTTGGCTCCGGCAACCATCCTGGCCTTGGCGTGCCACTGGACCTAGAAGAAAACCCGAGAGTTCTGATGTTATACACGTTTGACATTGGATCCTTTTTTTATTTAACTCAGACCAGTAAGAAACGTATTTTCGATTCAACAAAATCTCCATAGCATATAACATCTGAATACATAATACAATATGATAAAATCCAATCTTCATTTCATCCCCACCGTGAACATTCTTCTTGGAATCATCACTGTAGTTATTTTTCCCAATGCCCATGAATTTCGTGCTAAGGTGCCATCAGCAACTACTGCAACATCTCTAACTGCAGCTGGCATGCCATCTCGATTCCACTTGGGCTCGTCGAGATAGAGTAGGCAAGTTCTCTCTAATCCATCTTGACCAAAATATATCTGCCAACATCTGCGACTTCTCCCACTGCTTTCGTAGGTCTAGTTCTCCGAATGACGTTGGAAAGGAAATCCCAACTGATGATAAACCAAAGACACTGAAGGTCGCAAGGATATACTGAGATATGTGTTAGAGGTCTCCTGTTGACGATGTTTTCTGTATCTACGAAGATAGTATAAAGAACTTCATCTTTTGGAGCATTTTCATGGAGGGTAACCTGCAAAATCTTCTTTACGGATCTGATTAGTCTCTTCCAACACCCACCTATATGTTCGGAGTTATCGGTGGTATAAAATGCCACTGTATTTCCATCTCTGGTAACTCGATTGACATCCTTTTCGTATCTAATTCCTTGTACAGTTTTGTCAGCTCTTCATTTGCTCCTTTGAAGTTAGTGCCATTATCTGAATACAAGTGTCTTATGGGTCCCCGTCGAGATATCATTCTCCGAATTGCCATTATAGTACTATCGGTGGTAAGTGAATTTGCGATTTCTAAGTGAATTGCACGAATTGTCATGCAAGTAAAGGTCGTCCAACTGTGACGAATAATGGACCAAAATAATCGATTCCAACAAAAGTGAATGGCTTCACTCCAGAAGTGAGTCGTATTTCAGGTAAATCACCCATCCGAGGAGTATCTGCTTTGGCTTCCTTCACCTTGCAATACAGGCACCTCTTGAATGAACTCTTGATTGCTTGTCGTCCTGAGGAACACCAGCTTCAATGGGCTTGATACCAGATCGTTGATCATCAAGTTTCACTTGAAAAGTTCGATTTTGCAGAAACGAACACATCAACTGAACTAAAACATCAGGAAAGCCCATACCGATCATTTTGTACAAAATACCATCATGTCACACCTTGTCAAATGCTTCCGCTATCTCAATGAAAGCAAGATGGGTCTTTTATTCATCATTTCACAACGATATTGTGTCTTCAATGAGTCTCAGGACTTGTAGTTCAGTTGAGTGGCCAGCTCTGAAACCAAACTGCTCAACTGGTATCAGCTCGTTGTCGTCGATAAATTCCTGTAACATCTGCTTAATCACTCGCTCAGTAATATTTGTAATCTTTGTAATCTTCGCTTTGGCAAGAAGAGCAAGATGGGTCTTTTGTTCATCATTTCTCAACGAAATTGTGTCTCAAGACTTGGCTCGCCACTGAACCTAGGAAAAAACCGACAACTCTGTTCAAAGGTGGAGTACACCAAGTCGATGTTTTGAGGTAGGCCATCGATAAATATTGTTGGAAGTTCATATTTTTTGGTGCTGCAATAATCCAAGTTCTTACCAAGTATAGTAGTATTTAACACGTTGACCGCTCCGTTAGTGATACCGAATCCAACTCAGAAACGGTCATATGTTCGGAAATTCTGTCAATAGTCCTCTGAGAACCTAACTAACAGTATACTGGCAAAGCAATCAGTTTTCAGGACTACAAAAAATAAACAGCGCACCTACATAAACCTATAAAACACATTGGAATGGATAGAAATATCCGCCAGTGAAGTGGTACTCAGTACATCACAAGAACCAGTAATGGCAAAGTGGTATAGTGAATCAACGTGTAGATATAAAGTTGATTTGTTTGTGGTGAGAATTCACTCGCAAAACTTTTAGAGCATTACACTGGACCAAGACCAAGATTTAATGTGGTAAAACTGAAATTGGTGATGAAGAATTAGTTCACTTGAGATCTGCACACTTCAAAATGGAAAATTAGTGAAAATGAACACGTGAGATCAGCAATGTATGAAAAACTCCCAACATAATATACTGAGCTTATCAGATAGGAGAGTTGTAACAGACCTATGTACGTTTCATGAAATACTGAATTTCCTAATAGACTCGCCATATCTTTCGTCTAAAATCAATTTCAGAATCCCTAATAGATCCTCCCGAAATACGGACTTATTTGCAATTTCGTACAGCAGGACGAATGTAGGACAGCATTCTTCTCAGAATAGAATGCATAATCTTTTTAACAGATATTGCAATCATCTGAACATAGACATTTTCTCAATATCTCTACATAGATTCAAAATGATCCTCTAAAATCAGTTCATTCGAAATCGTCAATCATAGTTTCCTATAACTAAATATATAATACTCGATATGATATCTTTACTCGCATTATGTATATCTTTTGTATTTTTCATCAAGACTTGTTGATGTTTCTAACTTCTTTCACATCATGTACTTCAACTCCCCTTTGCTTACTATATAACTGATGTATAACTTGCCTCACCACGTAGCTACAATGTGGATGCTATTTTGGTACTTTGTACTGTATGCAACCTAAAATCCTAAATGAAAAAATGAATAAATAAAAAACTGACCTCTGTCGGTCCGGCATACATCATTGGGCTAGGAAACACCGCCAGCACCGTGCTATCCCTATCCAGAACCCCCTCCTCCAGAACTGCCCGATGCTGGCGCATCCTCACGTCGAGAGGTACGTCATCGTCTTTGGTCCAGCCGCCCAAAGGGTGCAGAAGAAGAACGGGCTTTCGGTAACCCCTAGCTCTGAGCTGCCTGTGGATCAAGATCAGTAAATTAGACAAGTTTGAGTGCGTGCCACTACCTCACCAATGAGATTCGTTCGAATTTATATTCATCTTTTTGATTGTGCGAAGTAATTGAATAATTCTAAGACGATATTAACTATTGTTAGAAACATTCCAGAGATACCCACCAAGTTACATTAATTACTAGTATTAGTATTATCATCATTATCATTATGCGAAGTTGAATCGTGTTGGATAAAATCCAGTGACTACTCTCCACATCCTGTGGGGTGAGTAATCACTGGGACCATGAACCGTGTGCCCTGAGTAGACGCATAGATCCGAGAATGACGAGCTTCTACATTCCACTAGCTAGATTGTGACCTGTTCCACAAACTGGTCCGGATAGAGCCTGCTGAGTTCGAAGAGAATATCTCGATATTCAGTCCATTTTTCCTCCTCCATCAAAACGATGTTAGAATCGGCTGCGCCGAAAACTACATAACGAACATCGCTTTGATTTGATGGTCGAGGAGGACTACATCAGACTTGTTAGCCTGTATCTACCTGAGGTTAGGAAATGAGAAAATCCAATGGATCCAGCTCTTCTTTTTCTCCACAACGGACTCAATATCCTCCGGAGAATAGGGCAGGGGTGTGGTCTATTCCGTACGAGTGCCTCAAATGATAGTAAAGCACTCGCAATGCCGCATTATATCTATGAATATAAGCCGAGACTGCATACACCGTGCAAGAAGACAGCAGGTGCATCAGTGTCTCAGGCGCCCTGCGGCAGGCCCTGCAGTTTGTATCAGGAACCTCTATATCCATGATATGGTTACGGTAGACGAGGGTGTTGAATATGCCATTATGAACCCCTGTGTCTCCGATTCAAGCCCGCCTGACTTCAGGAAAGCAAAAGTCAGTTCTTTGGATAAGCCCTAGTCTCCAATGGTCTTAAAGTCGACCGAATGCATATGGGCTTATTCATGTGAAGCTGCAGGAGCTTTATAACTTCTGCAGCTTTGATGCGGGACTTTCTCCGAGCAGACTCTAGCTCAGTTACTGAGTCCTGAGCCTCACGCCCGGCCGGAGTCGATGACCAGAGACAATTTATCGGCTGCTCGACGTGCTGCCCTAAAGAGAAAAGCTCCTACTTCTGCCTCTTCATTGGTTTTTACCATTTGCTGGAGGGGATCCAAACTCCTGATGACATTGCAGGCGCCATCCAGTACCATTATGTTATTGTGTTGAGAAGTTAAGGGTGAAAGAGTGACTTTTGTTTTTCCCTGTATTATGATCAAGCCATCAGCTTTTCTCAGGTTCTAATATTCAGGCTAACATTCCGGAACATGAATGTACGATTTGGTCGAAAATTCAACAAAATCGGACAGGAATTAAAAAAGTTACAGGGCGAACAGTTTGCCTACGTTTTTTGGTGGCCGGTTTTTTTTGCCGGTGAAGACCTATTCGTTTGTGCTTGCTCTTCCTGCTGAACTTGATTTTTTCCAATGACTTCCTCTGTTCACATTATGCCATGAACAGACACAACTATGGAAAAAAGATCAACATCAACAAGTTCAGCAAAACATATGAACAGGCCTCTACATTCAGTAGTCGACAGTAGAATCGAGAAAGATGAGGTTTGGAGCAACAGTCATTCTGTATGTAGTATGTAGGTAATCGTTAGAGTCACTGGATGGTATTAGATATCTACTAATACCATCCAGTGACTCTAGGTATCGTATCCGACATCATGATATGATATCATTCTTGGTTACAAATTTGTATATTATACAACAATTTGAACAAGGAACTTCAGAGGTTGAAGTCAAACAAAATCTTCCAGGGCCTAGTCAACTGATTTTTGCAATAGCTTTTATGGGTATCTCAGTCGATTTTTCAAAGATCTTGATTCTCTTGATATTATTCTTCGATGACAGATGTAATTCGGAAGATCTATGTCTGATGATTTGAATATTCAGAGCACACCAAGGGTCTCGTATGGGTTTCGTTTGAGATAATATTATATACTGTCCCAAAAAAATCGGTGACCATTTTAGCTACTCCATTGTGTCTATCCCTTCCTTGAATTGAAAAAAAGTTCCTCACAAGGGAATACCATTTGAAACTATGTATGTATACCTATTTTCGACACTATTTAACCTCGTTGTTGTAAACGAATTCGACTGGCACGCAGAGTGACGAAATTCACACTGTTGCTGATTGGCTGAAATCTTATGAGGCAACCTGTCCATTTTATGGATCTTACCTGTGGGTGTCTGTCATCAGAAGCGCGTGACCGTTGTGGATGGGGTTTCTGAGCTGAAAGGCGAATACTGCGTCTGCGCTCATCGCGCTGAATTTCCGCCTGAGCTGGTTAGGGGTGAGGCGGTATTGGTCGAGGTGGTCGTTGAATTTGATGGGTTTGAAGACTTCGAGATCGCCACCAATAAGCCAGTCTCCGGATTCGTATATCATCTGGAAAGTGAGATGATGGCTATAGAGAATACATTCGTGCTTTGCTATGAACCTATGAAATATATATGGATTTCCATTGTGTTGCCAGTTCTCAGAATTCATTTAGAAACAATATTGAGCTAGTACCCCTCTGGAATCGCAGCTTTTTTTCTGTTGGATGATCTACAAGGATTTTCCGTGGTTTCTACAACTCTGATGTCGCGATTCAAATGTTTTTCCACCACTAGTTATAGAACTTTTGAAGGCGTAATATGTGATTTTTCCACCAAGGTTTCTTTTTTTTTTAATGTATGATGAATTGACATTCATTATACAGGACGTGGAAAGAAATTCTGAATTGAGAAAACCTAATCACGACTCTTCGATTGAGGTCAATAAAAAAAATAAAAGTTTCCATCGTTCAAGTTTGAACCCCTTGATTGGGTTAAAGTATTGAAAAGGAATATCCTCAGATATAATTATGAACATAAAAAAATTGATATATTTATGAAAAAATACAATGAGAATCCGCATTCTCCATGTGATGAAATTATCAATTCTTTCTCGGTCTATTCAACAGGGAAGTAGTTGTTTCCAAATTGTCATACCGAATTACTCTCGAGCCTTTTTTTGAGTCGAATAGTAAACTTGAAATTTGTTATTCAAGTTTTGTTGCCTTCAGGAAATTTATCTAAAATAACGGACAAAAAAATTACTCATCCGAATATGTTTTGTTTTATTCCCAGACAACAAAATTCTCATTAAAATGTCAAGTTTACGTCGACAAAAAAGTTCCCGTTTAATTATAGATGAAAAAATTAAAACAATTTGTGGGAGTTGGATGCCACAATCAATTAGTAGTCTTACAGGGTGATACCTATAAGCAAGACAAACTCTCAGTGATTTTTTTGAAATGAAAACGTTCTGTGATTTGTGAGTGCAATAAAACAATGTTTGTATATTGGTATTTATAGGTATCGTGTGAACCATGAATGAGTAGGTATACAGGGTTTCCCGATCTTACATTAAGAGATTTTAAGTGCAGATTACCTATATGAAGAAAATGAAAAAAAAAGAGTAAACATGAGTCCAGAAATAGCCCCTTTATAGCCATCTGAAGGCGAGCCCAATATGATGGTATTATGAGAATATTTTCGAAATCCTTCGTGATAAAATAACCAAATCCTAGACAAGTTATACCTACCTAATCATGCATAAGTTGAAAATTTCAGAAATTTTGATCAAGGGTGGCGAAGAAAATGAGAGGGGTTGGGAGTACTTTTTTCCCTAAACTTTTCTGATTTCCGGCAGTTCGACCAGGATATATGAAAATCTCAACATTTTTACTTCTGGATGGTACCTTTCTTGATTTTCGATATAGAATTCAGCGTTTTCGAGATAAATCGATTTCAAAATTCAGATGCATGATAAAAATAGTGCTTTTTCCTTAACTGGGTACCGATTTTTTGACGAAAAATAACCCCTTCTTTTAACATCTACTTCTGATGTTTGATTTGAAATATTAAAGACCATTTTCATTGTGCAAGAGACTGCAATTTCGCCCTGAATCTCATGAACGCTCCTGGAGCCACTTCTCATTCCTTATCTGATATCTCTGCGATGTGAGTCTAATTAAATGATTTGAAAAACCTGTGATTTTCTAATTTTTCACACATATCTAAGAGAATTTCATTACTGATGAAACTTCGTGCATCGTAACTCTAAATCATCAAATGTTCAAAATTACAAGCCGTATACAGAAAGTACAAAAAAATGAATGTCTCATTTTCCAGGTCATGATGCCTTTCTTGCTATGTGATATACAGAATACACTTATAATCACGACATTTTTGAATGAGTTTTTGCATATAGTGCGAGGTTTGTACTATTCCATTAATATCGCGGGCACTGACAGATAACAATAAGACCTATCAGCTTTCCTGAGAAAATGTTCGTTTTTTACCTTGATATACGGATGATCTTTCTCTGTAGTTCCAAATTGTCTGGAAATACGTTCCTCTTTCCGGTGTAAGTATATTTCTGGATCTCTCAACACGGCATATAATTCCCCATTGTAGTACAGGGACACAGAACTGCTGTCCCTTATTTTCTCTTTGACATTAGTCGTTATAGCCAAAACTATAGGTATGCTCTGACTTATTCTTTCTCCATTCTTTTCTATAGTATTGAAATGAAGCACCTAGAAGTAGAAACATAATTCGCGAATTGAATATGGCAGTAGGTTTCATTTTGACTTACCTGTAGTAGTTCGTTCTCCCTCATGAAGCCTTTTAGAGGGTATGCCCATCCTTCACTGAGGACTTGTATCCATTGCAAGTCGATCAATCCTATATCGATTTTTGGATTATTTTGAGCTTCGTTGATGGCTTCCTTCAGCCTAAATTCTGGAACGAACAGTTCTGGAACTATAGCGTCGTTTCTTCCAGAGAAAATGTCCCCGTTTGACCATCCATTATTCCGATGGTTGTTAGACAGGTTTTTAGGAATCAAACCCTGGAAATAAAGTTTGTGATTACACCTTATGCCACTATTTATTATCAGAGATGCTCAATTCATCCATGAACTTGTCAAATTATTATTGAAATCTGTGGAAAGTAAGTGAACGAATTGAGACGGCTACGCTGTCTATTTGACTAGAAGACCGCGCTTCCAGTTGAAAACCTTGGATCTTGAATAACTTTCTTTAGAAAAAATATGGGACAAGGGAAGTTCAAAATACATGAATCAGAAAAATACTAGCGAAAATTCACTCGGAAAACTCATATGGTCTTTCAACATCTCCAATACCAAATAAATTCACACATTCTTCCACAGACTACCCCTTCGCAGTTCTCAATACCAACTCGGGATTTTCGGGTTTCTCTTACTCCTGATCTATCCAGAATGCAGATGAATCCCTTGATCAAGCTTTTTCTGGCTTTCTTGTACATCCCCTTGACGTTTCTTTCCTCGCATATTTCCAAAGGGTTGTGCACGAACACTTCAAAGAACGAAGCGATCAATATACATTTTTGGGTGCGGTATGAGATTTTCACAAAAAAGTAGCTAATATTCGCGGAAATAGCAAATCTCCATCTTTGAAAATAAGCGACATATCCCGTAAGGGCAAAGAAAATGGGATACCCTGTACATCATGGTAGATGCTGAGTCGATCCATGAGATTGTCAAAACATATTTAATATTATATGACCAAATTTATATTTATATTTTATAACTTACTTTGTCAATAAGAATCTTCTTGGACAATAAAGTATATATCTATCTATCTATCATTGAAATCTGTGTTTAGTCGATGAATTGAGACGGCAACGCTGTTCATTAGACTACACGACCGATCCCAGTTTGAAATCTTGGATCTTGAACAACTTTTCCTAGAGAGTTCTCAGAATTTGAATTATATTATCGAAGAACGTGTAACAAGGAAAATTTGGAATATGTGATTCAGAAGAATCCTGGCTAATTTTTCCTTGGACAACTCACTGCTGCCAGTTTGAAACCTTGGATCTCGAACAACTTCTTCTAGAGAGTTATTCGAATTATGGATTGTAGAAAAACATGGAACAAGGCAAATTCGGAATACGTGAATCAGAAGAATCCTGGCAAATTTTTACTTGGGAAACTAACCGCTCCCAGTTTGAAACCTTGGATCCTACTTCTTCTAGAGAGTTATTCGAATTATGGATTGTAGAAAAACATGGAACAAGGGAAATTCGGAATACGTGAATTAAAAGAATCCTGGCAAATTTTTACTCGGAAAACTAACCGCTTCCAGTTTGAAACCTTGGATCCTACTTCTTCTAGAGAGTTATTCGAATTATGGATTGTAGAAAAACATGGAACAAGGGAAATTTGGAATACGTGAATTAGAAGAATCCTGACAAATTTTTACTTGAAAAACTAACCGCTACCAGTTTGAAACCTTGGATGTTGAACAACTGTTTCTGGAGAGTTCTCAGAATTCGTATAATAGATTGTCAAAGAACATGGGAAATTCGGAATACGTGATACAGGAGAGCCCAGGCATATATTTACCTACATTGTCTTCCAACATCTCCAATACCAAATTCACGCACTCCTCCACAGACCCATTCGCAGTTTTCAACACCAACTCGGGGTGTTCGGGTTTCTCGTACTCCTGATCTATCCTGGTGAATCCCTTGATCAAGCGGTATGAGAGTTTCAGAGAAAAGTAGCCAATATTCGCGGAAATAGCAAATATCCATCTTTAAAAATAAGCAAGATATCCCGTAAGGGCAACGAGAATGGGACACCCTATACATCGTGGAAGGAGCTCAGTCGATCCATGATGAGATTGTCGAAACATTATTGAAATCTGAGTCAATGAATTGAGACGGCAACGCTGTTCATTTGACTACACGACCGCTCCCAGTTTGAAACCTTGGATCTTGAACAACTTCTGGAGAGTTCTTAGAATTCGAAAGATGGATTGTTGAAAAATATGGAACAAGGAGAATTCGGAATACGTGAATCAGACTAATCCTGGCAAACTTCTACTTGGAAAACCCACCTCTCCCAGTTTGGAACCTTAGGTGCTGAACAACTTCTTCTGGAGAGTACTTAGAATTTGAATAAGGTATTGTGGAAAAACATGGGACAAGGAAAATTCGGAATACGTGATTCAAAAGAATCCTGGCAACTTGGACAACCCACCGCTACCAGTATGAAACCTTGGATCATGAACAACTTTTTCTAGAGAGTTCTTCGAATTCGAATTATGGATTTTGGAAAAACATGGAACAAGGAGAATTGGAAATATGTGGATCAGAAGAATTCTGGAAAATTTTTGCTTGGTAAATGTTGAACAACTATTTCTAGAGAGTTCTCAGAATCTGAATAATATATTGTCAAAGAACATGGAAAATGGAGAATTCGGAATACGTGCATCAGGAGAACCCAGGCAAATTTTTACCTACATTGTCTTCCAACATCTCCAATACCAAAGTCACGCACTCCTCCACAGACCCATTCGCTGTTTTCAACACCAACTCGGGGTGTTCGGGTTTCTCGTACGCCTGATCTATCCCGGTGAATCCCTTGATCAAGCCCTGTCTGGCCTTCTTGTACAGCCCCTTCACGTCCCTTTCCTCGCATATCTCCAGAGGGGTGTCCACGAACACTTCGAAGAAGGGTAGACCGTTCGCTTGGTGAATGGACCTCGCTATGCTCCTGTCCGAAGATTGGGGGGAGATAAAGCTGCAAAGGCAGATGTGGCCAGCGTCAGCAAAAAGTCTGGCAACCTGAAACAAGAAAATATTGGAGAATATTTTTCAGAATTTTCATTCAATATGGCACCTTTTTTTTATATTTTGAAGATTTCATGAAATTGTGGTCAACATGCATGAATGATCATAAAGTCACTAGTTGCGAAATGAAAAGTCAAATTGCTAAATGACATCACATGGTACATATGACTATAAGTATTGTAGCAGGATTCTTCGAACTAATAAACTCATTAGACTTCTGATAGAAGTCCATGTTCCAACTTTTGATTTTTTTTTGTTAGTCGTAAGTTAAAAGAATATTGCCAAGCAAAAATGTTTATTTTCAGATAAGTACGAGATGAAGAAACGCAGGAAATTATGGTGATGGGCATGAGGAAATCATACGCTGAAATAATAACTATAATAAGGTAGGTGGATTATTTTTTTTTCATTCCACAGGGTCTGAATGAATATGTAAATCGCCGGATAATACATGGAGATCTAGTAATTTTATCGCCATCTAGTGGCATAACTCTCATAACTGAGATGTAGTTCAATGAATGGGTTTGATGGATCATTCCATTCAAGTATTCATGTAGTGCCATCTGTCAGCAGAGTGGTACTTGATTTTATGGGAAATTAATATCCAAATTTAACTACGAGAAAACGAAACAGAATCCGAAGTCACAAGTGGCAAAGACGCATACTCAAAATAAGAGTCCTTATGTCATTTTGGTCTAGGTTTCCACAAACTCAAATCAGTCTCTGACGTACGTCTTTCAAAGTATTCAAGCTACGTTCCTGTTCTAATCTACTTTCAAGAATGTCCCAGAGATTTTCAATCGGTTTTAAATCCATGATCCGAGCTGGCCATAGATCATTTCTCACAAATCGTGAAACGTGAGGCCTAGCATCATCTTGCATCAACAAAAATCCCTGTTCCAATGGTGATTAAACAATTTCCAATATATACCTTTTAGCTGTAAGCTTTCATTTATGATCACAAGTTCCTTGAGACCAGTGAAAGAAATGCCTGTTCAAACTAGTTACGTGCTTATGTTATGCTATAAAATGGTATTCCTGTAGTAATAGAGATGATCATGGAGTAAATTCAAAGAAGAAATGTTGAGAAAAGATAATGCCAAAGTGTAATTTCAATTCTAACTTTTAACACACACATTTTGTACAAAAAATTCTATAATTGCTACACCCGGTATTCATAAAGAAAAGTTTCCATGCGAATACAGTTTGCATGTCAGTGTTCAGAGAAAAAACTTTCAAATCGGACACTTATAGGTTTGCGAAAAGTTCACTACAAGAATACAGTAGGTATACAGGGTGAGTCATGAGGAACTGTACATGCTCCTACTACGAATAGAGGCATCTGAGGGGAATACCAAATGACTATCAGAAAGTGTCTCCGCCTCTTCTAAAATAATCTATAGGGTGATTAATGAGATATGGCAAAAACTTCTTTCAATCATAACTTTCCAACAGTTCTCTCGATTTCTTTCATTTTTTCATGGATTATCATGCTGTCACTCAGCAATCAACTGACGTATTCAGAATCGTGAAAATCCAGGACCGGTCTTGAGAAATTCTGCCAATTTGGTCCATATAAAAAATTTCACCCTGTATGAGGTTTTAGTAAACTGTGATATGGAATTTCTGAAGTCGATGAACAGGCAACTAGAATGAAGTATTTCAAATTTTCCTCACAATTTCATTGAATTTCTTAAAAAATGATTAATTTAAACTACACACGAAACTTGGGCAATAAATGTATTAATTTGAAAATTAATACTTCGCAACGCATGAATTTCACGAATGAAAGTATGGATAATATCATTTTCAATTCTTCAGCTCAACAATAATCAACATTCTTCTATTTCCAGGGTTGGATTCAGTTATTTTTTAGTAGAGAGTAATAATCACCAAAAATTACACCCTGTATATGGTTTTAGTAACCTGTGATATGGAATTGTCAAAGTTGATGAACTGGCAACCAAAATTGAGTATTTCAAATTTTCCTCAGAGTTTCACAGAATTTCTTAGGGTACGATCAATTTTCACTACACGTGAAACTTTCGCAACAAATGTATTAATTTGAAAATGAATACTTCGCACCGCTAGAATTTCACGAATAGAAGCAAGAATAACATCATTTCCTATTCTTCAGTTCACTGAAAATCAACATTCATCTATATCCAGGGTTGGATTCAGTAAATTTTTGGTACATGGTAATAGTCACCAAAAATTGCACCCTGTATATGATTTTAATGAACTGTGACATGAAATGTTCGGAGTTGACAAACAAGAATCAGGAATAAGTTTACCCTTACTTTTATTCATGAAATTCATGCATTGCGAAGTATTAATTTTGAAATTAATACATTTGTTGCCCAAGTTTCGTGTGTAGTTCAAATTAATCATTTTCTAAGAAATTCAATGAAATTGTGAGGAAAATTTGAAATACTTCATTTTGGTTGCCTGTTCATCAACTTTAGAAATTCCATATCACAGTTTACTAAAACCTCATACAGAGTGAAATTTTTTATATGAACCAAATTGGCAGAATTTCTCAAGACCGGTCCTGGATTTTCACGATTCTGAATACGTCAGTTGATTGCTGAGTGGCAGCATGATAATCCAAGAAAAAATGAGAGAAATCGAAAGAACTGTTGGAAAGTTATGATTGACAGAAGTTTTGGCCATATCCCATAAATCACCCTATAGATCATTTTAGAAGAGGCGGAGACACTTTCTGATGGTCAATTGGTATTCCCCTCAGCTGCCTATATTCGTAGTAGGAGCATGTACAGTTCCTCATGACTCACCCTGTATATGCCGCAGCCATGGCATCTACCTAAACTTAAGATAATGTAATTTGAAATTTATCCCAGTTTGGGAAACGAATTTCAATATGTTTGTACCGTAATTATTTATCCATAATGTTGATATTACCTAGGAGGACCAAAGATATTTTTATGGATAATCGTCTTGCCAACCTGACGAGAACGCACTGTTGATAACTATTCAAAACTTCAATAAAATATTTCTCACGAAATACAAAATTGTGTACAAGCATTTGTACAATTATTTGAAAATATATGTATTTCAAACTTTTTGATACTTCTTGGTGGTGCGTTGATTCTTTTGGAGAAGCACGTCGTACTTCCCGGCCAAGTCCGGGAAAATGTTATCTTCTCAAAGAAAAAGCTTCCGGGAGGTGAGCACTTCCAGGACGGTTACCGAAAAATAATATTGATGACATACAAAGTACCTCATTGACGTATCTAACACAGTAAAACAAGAGCAATTTTGTGTCATAGCCGTAGAAAAAAGATAGTTTTGGTGTTTTCTACCTCTCCAACTCTTCTTATGTTCTCCTGTCTATCCTCTTCGGAGAACCCCAAATTCTTGCTGAGCCCGTGCCTGATGTTGTCTCCGTCGAGGCTGTAAGACGGCATGCCGTTGCTCACCAGGAACTCTTCCAGGGCGAACGATATGGACGTTTTTCCCGCTCCGGAGAGTCCGGTGAACCAGATGGTGCAGCCGCGAAACTTCCCGTTGTTGTTTTGGCCGAGGATCCTGCTCCTTTTGTCGCGCGTCACGTGGTGCGACTCCAATTTGATGTTGGTGGATTTCTGGATGTCCTGGGAACAACGAATTGAATTATAAATAATAATAATGTCTTTATTCATTTCGATGCTTGGTATTACTATCAGCAATAAACTTTCTTGGGAAAATCACGTGAGATCAATTGCTGAAAGTGCATCCCAAAAACTTGTTTTTTTGTTTAGGGCTAGGAGCTATTTCACTTCCAGTCAGCTGCTTATGATCTATAAGGCACAGATCCGACCTGTCCTGGAATGCTGTTCAGATATATGGAGTGCAGCACCCAAACATACCCTCAAACTGTTG